AACCACAGATTCTATTTAGAAGGGGTCCCTTCTAGGGAATGTGGCTAGGCAACCCGAAGGAACCCCAGCCAATCACTATTCAGGGGAACGTACTCACCCTGAAATGCCACCAGGACGGCCTGACCTGGCGTCAGTTACATAGACACTTAGTCTGGCCACTTCCTGTCTGTCCGAAGACAGAGCCTCTGGACACTTGCCTTTAGGTAAGGCATCCAACCCGAGGGACTGTGAAGCTGGCAGAACCACTCGGCCCGGATCTCAGAGACGGGATATCCCGGAAAGTATGACTCAGCATAATGCTTTCCAACCCTTGTCAGCGAGGGGAGTTTCTCTACTCGATCCACGGATCTAACCAGTGTTTGTGTTTCAAAACACTGAGGAGGCCTGTGAAGGCCTAAGGGCTGATCTAACTGGGAGGCCCCTTACGAGAGGCCTACGACTGTCTGACCAGACTCAGGAGTCCGCGTGCTCATAGTGACCCTCGGTGAGGGGAGCACATGGTCCGCCTGGTAGGCAAACCAGGCTGTAGGCATGAAAAGTGGTTCCGGAAGGGAACCAGTAGCAGAGAATGAACACTTTAGTCGAGCCAGGGTGAGACCTCGCCTTCAGCAGCTGCCTGCTAAGACCAGCTGAACTGATACCAAGAGGCCACTAGCTTCCTGAACCCACCACCACTAAGAAACCCCTCACAGGGAGGCCTGGTGAGGCCTACTATCTGATAACCACAGTATGTGGGGAACTCACCTTCAGGGAGGGCTGGTGAGGCCTACTACCTGACAGTTTCCATTCAGGGAGGCCTGGAGGGGCCTACTACCTGATAACCACATTATGCAGGGAATTCACCTTCAGGGAGGCCTGGTGAGGCCTACTACCTGATAACCATAGTCCATGGAAGCTCACCTTCAGGGAGGCCTGGTGAGGCCTACTACCTGACAGTTTCCATTCAGGGAGGCCTGGTGAGGCCTACTACCTGATAATCACAGCATGTGGGAACTCACCTTCAGGGAGGCCCGGTGAGGCCTACTACCTGATAGTAAGTAAGGCTAGCTGTCCAGTTGCCTGTCCTTGGGGCTTGCCTCCAGGGAGGCCTGGTGAGGCCTACTACCTGATAGCCAACGTAAGCGGGAATTTGCCTTCAGGGAGGCCTGGTGAGGCCTACTACCTGATAATCATCTTAAGTGTGAATTCACCTTAGGCTTACCAGGGTGCGTGACCGCCAGCGGCTCTAGGGGTGACAGAAAATGTATCTGTGCCCAACCTAGGGGAGTTGGGCTTGTTTGTGAGCCAAACCACCTACAACCCAATGCCCGAGCAGTAGCTCAGTGAGGTAAGTGAAGCCTAATCTGGCGGCCCAGATCCGTATGCTAGTTCTGCACGGCAGGGTCGGGCAGACAGACCCAGTCTCTTCGAAAGACGGCCTAACCCTGCTCAATAAAGACACATTGTACCAGGGAGGCCTATTTGGGGATCCAGGGATCTTTATAAACCATGCCTCTGCACCATGCTGCATTATTCTTGTCGCCCCAGAATGCAGAGAAGGGGGCGGGCTTTGGCCTAACGACTGCCATGGGAGGAGGCTGTCATACAGGGATGCTTTCTAGAACCTACATTCACAAAGTGAAGGGTCAGAGGCAGAAATGCTTAAGTAGAGCGCCTCCACTATCCCTGGCACAGCCAGCTACAGAGGCTGCCCTGGTGAGGGCCAGCCTGCAAGCATAGATCTACCTGAGGGCTCGGAGGAGCCACAGCCTACTAGAAAAATAGTTATTATTATTTCGTACGAGGGGCTGTAGAATTGCCCACTGAAAACCCAAACAGAGCTCAAGATGTACTCAGGAAAGAAGTCAGACGGACCAGTGGGCTGGACATAAGATGTATCTGAAGCTCTAGCATCAGTCAAAACTCCAAGTAAAAAATACTATGAGAAAGAGACCAACTACTCTACCCTGAGGTGGCTAACAGCTCAAGGGCTAACATAGTTTCACATCACAAGAGAAGCCCATACAGCTGGTGCTTCTTCCTATCGTTCTAGACACCTAAAGGGGAACTTCAGGGCCCCAATAATCCAAAAATGTACCTTACCTTACCTTATGACATTGACATGACCCCATATCTCTATACAGGGAACGAGGTCTGTAGAGAGATACATTTTAGTGTTAGTTGCACACAAAAATTACTCTTAAAAAAGACCACTCAGCTCACCTGCGGCGTGCGAAGTGAAGACTCACCAGACAGTTCTTTATGAACATGGGGTCTACCACCTTTACATGCCTGAAAGAGGCACTCTCACTAACCAAGCCGAGGTGGGCCATCAGAACATTGTTCTAACCATGAGCCCAGCCTCAGGCCTGATGTACGAAGCGCTTGGGGAGTCGGAGAAGAGAGGAGAGGGCTAAGATATAATCACACCCTTAGGGGAGGTGATCCATGACCGACGCTGTGTGCATTTGAGCTGGATCACCTCCCTCAGATCCCTCTTCTTGCGGGAGACGTGCCTCTTCTGTGACATACTCCTCCGTGGAGGAGGCGCACGAGAGGCGACACTGGCTCTCTGGCCCTGTCTAAGGTCCTTGGACCATGCTGGGCCAGGCCCTCCCGTCTGTCTGGGTGTGGATACGGATCTCAGCGGTATTTAGGGCCTGAATACGGCTGAGTGCGCCCTCGCCTCTCTGAGCTTTCCAACCACCGCCTCCATGGATGTGCCGAAAAGCTCAGAGGGCGAAACTAGCGAATCGAGGAGAAAGCCTTTCTCTTTCTCCCCGATGTCAGCCAGGTCCAACCACAAATGTCTCTCCGTGGCCACTATCGCCGCCATTGACCTGCCGGTCACAGCATCAGTCTGTTTGGTGGCCCGGAGAGCTATTTGCGGCGCAGCTCAGTAACCGCCTCAGGGGCCCCACCCCCTGGTCGAGATCCCCCAGCAGATCGGCCTGGTGTACCTGCAACACCGCCATGGTGTGCAGAGTAGCACCGGCCTGACCTGCTGGCGTGTATGCTCTGCCATTCATTTGGCAGGGTTGGAGCTCTCAGTGTCGACGCCTGCCCAGACACGAGATAGTTGCAAATGTCTCGTCAATGGGCGGCATCGACACATACCCATGCTCTCCTATCCCCTCAACGTCCCGCTGATGTCGGTGGACAGAGTATGGGTTCTTCCATGTCCTCTCGATCTCAGTATGAGATCGGGAAGAAATGAAAGGCTCACCTGAGTTTTCCTTTTTTTTTTTTTTTTTTTTTTCATGCTGCTTACCCTCGTCAGCCGCCGCATCGTCTGAGAGGATTACACTCCTCTCAAGGTGATCGGCATGCTTCATCTGGAAAACTCTCATCCAGATCCTGAGTCCTCTTCTCTCGAGAAGAGGGCCAGACGAGAGCGGAGCGTTCTCAAAGAAAAACACTCGCAATTGTACAGGCAGTTCCCTCGAGACCTGCCTGTGTGCGCTCTTCCTTCCCAGACAGAAAATGCCCAGTTCGTGTATGTCACCCGGCGTCAGATATCTTGAGCACGGGTCTGCACACTACTGAAAGCACTCAGCCTTCTCAGTGCATTTCATAATTACCTGATTTTCAAAGAGGTTACAGACAAAACAGTCCCTGAAGACGATAAGATGATAAGATGATTTTGAATCCTTTTTTACGTAATCCGACTGGCGTTTTCACATGGTGGATGATAAAACCGGCCAAAAGATCTCATATGCCAAAATCAAACACTTCCCTACTATTGTCACGGGTGCTGTGTGTGCAATACACAAAGATTGCGTGACACAAACGACAAAAGATAATTTAATGTACACCTAGAACTAGAATCCAACACAACAAACCAGTAACGGCCTTATTTTGTCATGGCGGGTCAGGCAAAATCGAGGAGAAGAGGATCTAAATGCAGCACTTTTAATATAAACCGGAAAACTAAGACAATAATACATACAAGGGAATCACATGAGCAAACACGTGTCAGTGAAATCAACAATGAACAAACTGAGGGCTGTAAAAAGAACTAAACTAGAAACAGGTGGAAGTAATCAATCAATCAAACAATGAGTAACTATGACAACAAAATTGAACCATGACAATCAAGGAAACAAAGGAAATACAGGAAACAATAGGCTATATGCACGCATAAGTTCCGCATTTGACGCAAGGATGCTCGTCAGTTTCCGGTTGGGGAGATTAAAGCGGAGGAAAACCGAGGAAAACAGGATTATGGCAGAGTCTTCAAAATTTACTGTCCTCCCGTCTTTGAAACGAAACTTTCATGCGTTTAGATGTAATTTTATATATAGTTATGTTTATTTAATATAATTTTAAAAAGAAGCATAAACACAACGAGGTGTGTCTGTTTTGTCAGTTTTTGTGACTAACGCTTCATTAGTATAACCATGGAGTATACAATTCAATATAAATTCTCGGTATTGCATTGGACTCTATGATGGACTCTATGGAAGTTATCGAGCATCCTTGACCTTCAACGGAAATACCGCTGTGCATAGAGCCCATAGTTGGGTCCCACATGACACACTATGCACTTATACACTATTTACTGATGCACTATGTGGTCAACTGTGCAGTGTATGACTGTTATAAGATGATTTAGTCATTCATCATTGGAGTCTGATGCTCCTCCCCCTCTGTAATTAAAGACAGTTTAATGTATGAAGTGTCCAGTATTCCACACTTTAATAAGTGAATTTAAATTCATTTAAACATTCCTTTTTGGAATCTTCAGTGTGAACACACTACACACCGTATTTATACTACACAACACCATAGATTATTTCAGATGCACGATTGAAGGAGGGATTCAAGCCATTCAGAACACTCTCGCACTGCATAAAAACACATTAAAACCCAGAGTATCTATAGCAACTAGAGACTTTTGCATGGATAAACATCACTTTAGTTGTAAAGGGAACACAACTGAAACATGCTACGCACACTGCATCCATGGCTTTGATCAGGAGTGTGAAAAGTGTTGACATGCATGTGTGCAACACCAACAGGCCTGCGCTTTTACCAGCTCAAGCTGTTCCCCGAGGACTCTCCGGTGGAGCTCATGAAGGGAGGCGTTCTCCTGCTCAACTGCAGCGCACGGGTCGAGTTCAACACCGGCGTCGAGTTCCTCTGGGACTATCCTGGACAGAAGGTAATCACACACTTATCAGAGACATCGTGACCTGTCCAATTCACAATACATGACCTTTATCTAATTCATTTGTGTTGAATAAAAGAAGGTCTTGGCCTGTGAGCAAAAGTGATTGCGTTGTGTAGTAATAAATCTCTGCAAACCATCATGTTCATTATTACACTCCTGTGCTGTTACCATAAATCTACCAGTTCATTATATAAGCTGTCTCAATAGTCAAGCATTTCATTTCTAGTTTTCATTTCAGTTTTAGTTAATCTCCTGTGTTTGCATTTCGTGTTTAGGTCACATGTTGCCAAAGAAGTATATTTTTCATAAAGAAAATTAATACTATTTTTAAGACCATTTTTGTGACATTATTTTAACCCTCTGGGGTTGTTCGGCCCAAATGGACCCGAAGCATTAAATTTTATTTATTTTTTTTAAATCATAGCTTTATCGGAATGGTCAGAAATTTGGTGACTTTGTTGGTACTTGGTATATGAACACCCAAAAAAATTGGGGACAGGATTTGAATAGTCTAAGTGGTTGTAAAAAAAATAGTCACACTCAGGACCTTCGGGTCCAAATGGACCCGCCATAGGAAATGAATAGGAAATTGGCAAAAATGTGAAAATACAGAGTTTTTTTGTGCGTACAATCTACAAATCAGCCACGATCCAGAATAAAAGCACACAACAGTGAAGGGGTGAATCTATTAAACATCAAGAGTGCAAAACAGACACATCCACACACACACACACAAACACACTTTTATACACATACACACTAATAAATTCAGATTACATATGGGTTGTGAATTTTTCAAATGCTCAGTTTGTCCACCAGATGGCATCCATCTCATTTCAAAAATTGCTTTCATGAGGCCTAGGCTTGACTCTAAAATGAAATACAGCTTTAAAAAAAAAAAAAAAAAAAAAAAAAAAAAAAAAAAAATCTATTATATTCAATGGGGGAAAAAATGGGTCATAATTATTGCATTAATATTAATTATAAATCATTTTTATTTTTGAAATTATCTCAAAACACCAAAAAAGAAAAGAAAAAATATTATAAAAAACAAGTAAAAAAAAAATTATTATGATTTTTTTTTTAAAATATGAATCCTGCCCTTTGGGTCCATTTGGACCCGAACACCCCAAGTGTGACTGTTAAACGAACAACCCCAGAGGGTTAATAAAGTGCTGGGGTTGTAAAGTCTGGAACGCTAATCGCCACTGGTTCTCTCCAGGTTTTCCAATGGCGTTTTATAATGGGGCTTTTCAATTTATGAGTAAAATAAGGTCTGTGGTAAACATAAGCTGATGATACTTGGACGTTTTGTTCTACAATGTAAAAATACACACACTCACACCCCAAACGCTCTGATCTAGTTACTTATTAGAAACATTTGTTGTTTAAAATAAGCATTTTTTTTTTTAAAATTCGGAAACAGGAACAAAAGGAAACGGAACAGAATTTCTGTAATAGTAAATAAAAGACAGCGAATCTAACTGTTACATCATAAACTAACAATGAACATTCGTAATTGGTAACACTTTACTATAAGTTTACGGTAATAAAGTACTGTATTTGCAAACTATTAGCTTATAGTTAATTCATGGTTTATATATTCTAGTAGTCTCTATACATATGCATTTACATACATACATTTTAAGGAACACTTAATATTTATGCAATTAATTTCTAATTAAATAAATAATTAAATAAAGGTTTATTTAAAGCACTTTACTTAATCTAAAGAGAGAACTATTAACCATCAACAACCCCTTTACTACTGGTTTAAAATACTGTGCATCACTCATATGGTTAATACGTTGTTAACAAAGCATAAAACTTTACATATGAGCTAATTAAACAATAATAATTTTGTAAATTACAGTGACAATGAATGAATAACTCACTATTTGTATGTAGCCTATTAATATATTAACTACAATATATAAACTTTGAATTAACTGTAAACTAATAGTTTGCAAATTATAAGCATTAAGTAAATTATAAAATTATTAAGCACTTTATTACTGTATACTTATTGTAAAGTGTTACCTAACATGAACAAAGTTGAATAAATGAATAAAAACAAATGCATTGCTCATTGTTAGTGAATGTTATTTAAGGCATTAACAAATAAGACCTTATTTTAAAGTTTTAGTGAATAAATTTAAGACACTACAGCAAATGCTACCCTGATGTATAAATAATTCAGAATTGAAATAATACATAATTGATTTTTATGCATTAGTAATGAGATCACGATTAAAAAATTCTTAATGATCTTGACAGTTCTTCAGGAGCTATAGTGACCTTTCAAAATGAGTTTAAAAGCTAGTCATGTGATAGTGTGTAGTATTTTAAGTGTAGCACTTGATCCATTAATACTAACAGTTTGTTTTCTCTTCTATTCTATTTCTATTTAAATAAATACTGCATTAGACTAAACTGGGAAGGGTCACAGCTCTTACATGTTGTTGTCCTATAGTTAGTTTAACTGCTTCTATTGCTCTCCTCATTTGTAAGTCGCTTTGGATAAAAGCGTCAGCTAAATGATTAACTGTAAGTGTACACATGGCAGACAGAACTGATCAGAGATGTTTTGTCACAGGAGAACCGGCCGGCCAGTTTTCAGCCGGTGCGTAACATCTTGTCGGACGCCACGGAAGCCTCCAGTATCCTGACGATCCCGAGTGTCCGTGTGGACGACAGCGGATACTACACCTGCTCGGCCAGCACTGTGGAGAAGACTCGGCATCTCACTACTGTCGTCATCGTTCACGGTAGCTCACAGATAATGCTGCTATGAACTTAAAACATTTCAAACGTAATATGTAGTTAAAGGAGTAGTTCACCTCAGAATTGAAATTTCCTGATATCTACTCTCCTCCGCGTCATCCAGGATGTTCATGTCTTTCTTTCTTCAGTGGAAAAGAAATGAAGGTTTTTGAGGAACACACTCCAGGATGTTTCTCCATATAGTGTCTTCAATGGGGTCCAACGGGTCGAAGGTCCAGATGTGAGTTTCAGTGCAGCTTCAAAGTCTCGACACGATCCAGCCGAGGAATAAGAGTCTGATCTAGACAAACCAGCCGACATTTATAACAAAATACACATTTATATACTTTTATCCACTAATGCTGGTCTTGCACTCGCTGTGATGCGACACACATTACGCAATCAGGGTGAAAGGTCAAGCTTGTTCCGGTTTATAAATGAAGGATAGGGCGAAAAACTCCATCTCATTTTCTCCTCCAACTTCAAAATTGTCCGACATCATTGTTTCACCTTTTATTTTTTTTTATTTTTGTAAATGGCGTTTGACTCGGTCTTTGCAGGTTGGCTCTGTAAACACTGGGTCTGTTCTTACACCTACGTCACGCTTGACCTTTCACCCTGATCACGTAATGTGTGTCGCATCACAGCGAGTGCAAGACCAGCATTAGTGGATTAAAGTGTATAAATGTGTATTTTGTTATAAATGTCGGCTGGTTTGTCTAGATCAGACTCTTATTCCTCGGCTGGATCGTGTCGAGACTTTGAAGCTGCACTGAAACTCACATCTGGACCTTCGACCCGTTGGACCCCATTGAAGACACTATATGGAGAAACATCCTGGAACGCTTTCCTCAAAAACCATCATTTCTTTTCCACTGAAGAAAGAAAGACATGAAAATCTTCTTGCATGAGTAAATTATCAGGAAATTGTAATTCTGAACTGAACTTATCCTTTAAATACAACATTGCTACCTTAAATAGTATTTTTACTCGATGTAACCCATACCAATTTATTTTGTTGACATAAATTAATGTAATTCGGTTGATTCAGCAAAATTAAACATGATTTTTTACTTGAATAGAACCAGGTAATTTAGATGTTATCATGTGTAGGTGTGCTAGCTAATGTAACAGCTCTTCTTCATAATTCTACACAGAGAAGCCTTTCATCAGCTTGGACTACAGGAACGGATCGGTTATCGAGGCCAAAGAGGGACAAAAGTCAGTCCTGCTGCCCGTGAAAGTGTCGGCGTACCCCTCTCCTGAAGCTCAGTGGTAAGGCCTCAAAGATGTCCAAAATACACCAACCACTTGTGAACCCTGTGTTTGTCATACTGCTTGTTCTGAACGCATGTTTCTTATCATAAACAGCTTGGCCTTATGTCATCAGAGACACTTTTCACCAGCCGTTAAATTGTTAATGGATAAAATCAAGTGCCATTTTATTTTCTTCCGGTTAAATATCCTGTTTTCTCAGAAAGGAATGTCACATAATGCAAACAAAATGACACAAACACCGTTTCTGACACTGCTTCGTGAAGCTTTGAAACCTTTGGGAATCCTTTGTTTTATAAATTTGTTTACAAATTCAATGACACATTTGTATAATAAAAAGGAAGAGTTGTAGTTAAAAGTCTCTTATTGGCCTGATAAATCAAGCTCTCCATTAAACAAAAATTTAACCCACAATTTAATAAAATAACACACATTATACAGACACTTCATATTTAATGGTATTAAATGATTTGTTAATTGCATTTAATAGATCACACTTTCAATAACACATTTGTAACTGGTTTGTAAAAAGAGGTTTTATGCATGTTTGGGCTCGAAACAGTGAATCATTTTGCAAAGCAAGTGGTTCAATTGATTCAAAGTTTCGAAAAGCTTTGTTTCTTCCATCACTACTGTCACGGGTGCGTGTCGTAATAATCCAAAGATGAGATGCTTGACGCAGAATAAATGGTGATGAGATTTTTTAAATAACATCAAGAACATAAAACATGTAATGTATGTAACCGTAGTTCCCTGAAGAGGGAAAGAGACGCTGCGTCGAAACGCTGTGGGAACGCCCCTGCGTGATTGCGTCATGAAGCACGTATGAAATCAGTCCAATGCAGTGATGGAGCGTCATGTGACTTCATCGACCAGGAACCTATAAAGCACACCTGAACCAAACCAAACAGCGTCAGCTTCTGATGAAGCAAGCTGATCATGGGCATGCCGGGAGTATGGCAGGGCGACGCAGCGTCTCGGTCCCTCTTCAGGGAACTAGGGTTGCATATGTAACCGAGACGTTCCCTTTCAAGGGAACTCGCGCTGCTTCGAAACGCTGTGGTAACGCTAAACCTCAGTGCACACTAAGACGAAAGCACCCGTGCCCTGGGAGTGGAGCCATGGTCAAGGTCATAGAACCTAACGAATGTGTGCGGTGAGGACGAGCCTGCCCATCACAAACATCATGAAAGGAGACTCCTGACAGCAATGCTTTGGAAGCAGCCATAGTAGTAAAGTGGACCCGTACAGCCGAAGGTGAAGGCTGACCAGTCGACTCTTAAGCAAGTGAGATAGCCTCAACCGCCCACTTGCTCATCCTCTGCTTAGATGTCGGACAGCCCTTGCTGGGTGACCCAAAGCACACCAACAACTGTTCAGATGTCCTCCACAGGGCCGCTCTGTGGATGTATGCATCTAAGGCCCTAACTGGGCAGAGCAGATTCAGTTTCTCCTGGTCTGACGTGTAGAAGGGAGGAGGACAGAAGGCCTGCACTACTCTAGGTCTTACGATATTAGTAAGAACCTCGGGAACATAACTCGTGTAGGGTGAAGAGAGTCTTTACTATGCCAGGCGCAAATCCCAGACACGAGGGAGATACCGAGAGGGTTTGAATGTCTCCAATTCTCTTAAGAGACGAAATAACGAGGAGAAAGACAGTCTCAAGAGTGAGAAACTTGGACATTGAAAGTAAAGAATGGATATTGTGTGCTGACCTGCCGGTGCCGCTGCTTTCAGGGAGGATGCAGACTGGCTCGCAAGCGTCTCTTCAGCCCTGGGCATCGCCCCATAACGTGTTGTCTGAGCCCAATGTATATTAGGCTCAATCCCAATTCACCCCTTGGCCCTACCCCTTGTTTTCTAGTGTACCCCTTGGCCCTTAAAACAGAGTTACAAGGGCCAAGGGGTTGAAATATTCCCCTACGTAATGGAACAACCCTTCATGAACCCGATACTTCATCAGTCGTCGGCGATGGCTCTGCCGTTACAGAGTTTTTACAGGATTTCTCCATGACAACGACTGACAATCAGCGCAGCTGCTCTTAACTTTGAGGAAAACATGATGCTTATAACGTTCCTTCCTCGAAATGTATGTCTTTTCTGTTTCGGAAAGGTAATTTATTATACAATTTCTTAATTTAAATGACTATATCATTATTATAAGAGTAAATAAAGTGCACGGTGGTGTCATCTGGCGCTAAATTTAAATGTTTAACCGTTTGTGAAGCCATCTCACCGGTGATTCGCGATGTATTCTGCGAACTTTCTCGTAGCCCTCCGTTTGGAGTGTGCCTCTGAAAAATCTCCGTTTCGAGGGCTATGCAGCCCTACCCCTTCGCCCTACCCCTCGATCTAAACAAGAATCGGGACACCCTACCCCTTGAGGTGAACGCGCAAAACGGAGGGGTAGGGCCAAGGGGTGAATTGGGATTGAGCCTTAGAGTATGTTGATGTCTGCGGACTAAACACACGATACGAGACTGTTTCTTCCACACCCTCGACACCTCGGTGTGGAGGTCGGGAAAGAACGGCATTGAGGTAATGCACGAGATGGCAGGACGCGTTCATCTAACTTGCATCGCTGCTTTGTTCCAAGTCTCCAGTCAATATTAGCCACCGCGCGAGTGATAATCTCCACTAGCTCCTCACATGCAGGAGACTGAAGTGCCGAGTCTTCAGATTCTCCCATTTCTATACTAACCTCATCCAGTTCATAGCCGCGAGGGCTGACTGTGCATGCGCTCCCAAACAAACAACACAGCAGATGTGTATCCCCACCAGGGATGAACACACTTCATGAATTGTTGTTCGCTCGCCATTATAATGCTTTCTTTTTTTTTGAACGGGTGAAAACTCCTGCCTAGCAACTTCTAAAGAAATACAAAAAACACCATTGACAGATTTCACAAAGAGCGCTTGCTGAAGACACAGGAGCTGACACTGTTTGGTTCGTGTGTGATTTATAGTTTCCTGGTTGATGGCGGCACTGATGATTCGACTGATTTCATACGTGCTTCGAGACACAATCACGCAGGGGCGTTCCCACAGCGCTGTGACGCAGAGAGAGTTCCCTTGAAGAGGAACATTAACCATTGACAAACATACATTGAACTGAGGAAACAGAGGGCTTAAATACACCACATCGTAATACACATCGTTAACCAAACAGGGGAACAGGTGTGCACAATCAGAAACCATGGCAACAGACTACGAACTAGAACTCAAGCAAATCAGTGACAGGGAAAATCATAACAAAGAAACTAAACAGAACACGATAATGAAACGAAACATGATATGACTGTGACAGTTTCATGTCGTCGTTAAAAATAGTCATGATTATTCATGCATTCCTCCAGACAGTGTTATGTGTTAAGTGATCTCTTTGTGTGTGTGTGTGTGTGTGTGTAGGTATAAGAATGGCAGGCTGGTCAGCAGACGGCCAGAGTTCAGCAGGTTTAAGGTTCAGCATCAGGCTCTGGAGATCAGAGATGTGTGTAGCAAAGACGCCGGTGAATACATGCTGATCCTGAAAAACACACCGGCGGCCCTGGAGAAAACACTCAACTTCACTCTCGTCGTCAATGGTAACTCTCTCAATCTGTAATAGATGTTTCTATTAAATATTTGCAGTTTTATATTAGGTTGGTCCATTATTATATAGTAATCAGGGTTGGTGTGGATACGGTACAAACACTAGATGGGAAATTTATCCACCTTAATTGACCATTCGCAAAGCCCCGCCCCCTTTAGTTACTGTTGCTATGTCCGACAAGCCACGCCTCTCTCACGCCACACCATGTTCTCACGGAGTGAAACACACATTGCGGAGCAGAGAGGACACACACTGACAACACACTGACAGCTTACTTTTGATATGAAACAAAGCCTCAACTTTCAAATTTTGAATTTTTTAAAAGAATTTAAACAATGCACACCGTTTTGTGGCTGTTTAATGTGTCTGACAGATCGCTAGAGCCTCAGTTAAAGCCGCTTGTGAACCGATCATCTCTTCCTTCTAGTTCATTTATAAACGTGAATCTGTGAAAACGCTGACGGCGTGCACATGCATATCACGTGTTTAGTCTATAGATACCGGTATGCGCGTTTAAATATATATGTGCACAGGCGCGTAGTCTTACTTTACTAATTGACCTCACCAAATGACTTATCTGGCCTGCATACACTCTAAAAAATGCTGGGTTGTTTCAACCCAAATTTGGGTCAAATATGGACAAACCCAAATGTTGGGTTAAAAATTTAATTAAAAAATTTACAGTTGAAAGTGAAAGTTGAAGTTGGGTTAAAATTTTAAATTACATTTTTAACTCAACATTTGGGTTGGTCCATATTTAACCCAAATTTGGGTTAAAACAACCCAGCATTGTTTAGAGTGTACACTCTAAAAAATGCTGGGTTGTTTTAACCCAACTTTAGGTCAAATATGAACAAACCCAAACGTTGGGTTAAAAATGTAATTAAAAAATGTTACCCAACGGCTGAGTTTGTTCATATTTGACCCAATGTTGGATTAAAACAACCCAGTGTAATACAGATTTTTTTGTCTTTCCCGCAAATAGTGATATTTGTCTTATTTGCTGTGCATGTGCAGTTCCTCCTCAGATCCACGAGAAGGAGGCGGCGACACCCACCAACCCGTACCGGAAGGGCAGTCGCCAGACCCTGACCTGCACCGCCACCGGCTCCCCCCCGGCCTCGGTCCGCTGGCAGTGGAGGCCCTGGAGCCCCTGCAGTCTCAACAGCTCCCGCAGGGCCCCGTAAGACCCCGCATCCAGTACACACGCCGGCCAGGACCCAATGACTTGAAGTAGGGCTGAACGTTTGCATGTATGCATTCAGCAGAGGTTAAAGGAGTAGTTCACTTTCAAATGAAACCTAGCCCATGATTTACTCGCCCTCAAGCCACCCTAGGTGTACATGACTTTTTTCTTTCAGACGAATACAATCTCAGTTATATTAAAAAATGTCCTGGCTCTTCCAAGCTTTATAATGGCAGTGGATTGCAACCATCAGTTTGAACGTGCATTCATCCATCTTAAACGAACTCCACACGGCTCCGGCAAGTTAATGAAGGCCTTCTGAAGCAAAGCCATGAGTTTGAGTAAGAAAAATATTCATATTCAACACGTTACAAAGTAAAATTCTGGCTTCCGGCCAAACGAACATACAGAGTCTCTACTTACGACTAAAGTGCAACTTTAGTAGCGTAGTGCGTCATGGCGTAGCGCAAATATCAGCAGTGCGTCGCATTACTCGCATAAGTTGCGCTTTACACGTAAGTTGAATCCGTTTGTTCGTTTGGCCGGAAGCTAGTTTTCATGCCATGAGTTCAAAAGATAACACCAATTTCATTTTATGAGAAAAAAAGGTCTGAAAATGTTTTAAATATAAAGAAAAATGTATGGATTCTCGATTTCTGATTGGCTGCGAGCTATAATGCTATAATGTAGTCATTTTATGCATTTATTAGAGGTTGAATTCAAATCAAATACTGCCAAACCACCCATACTACTTCTGAATAGGATGTCTACTTCATAAATTGTATGAAAATTATGGAAATACATGGTTCAGATCACTCAAAACATGAAAATGGAGGCGCCCTTATATGGGCAGTAATGGAGTCTAGTGAAAAAGTTGGGTACTGTGCCCAAATAAAATCTTTTAGATATCAACCTAAAATTTGGAATACAACTTGTTCAGATTCTTGTCTTTAATTTTCTTGCAGTTTTAGAGTAAAATATATTTTGTAATATATATATTTTATATAAAATACTAATAATTATATTTTTACATTACACCATTTCATAAACTCAAACTTATATAACTTTTTTTCTGTTTCATTTTTTATCATTTCTAGACTTCTACAATAATCTGGAAAATGTCTTCTTTAAAACAAGACCAGCCATAGGTCTATATTCCAAAGCATTCCTGAATTACAACCATTTAAGTTTGGATAGTGATTTTTATGTCTATGCAAAAAAAAGGGGGGTGCCAGTTAACAGGTTAACCCCCGGAGCCGTGTGGAGTTCGTTTACGACGGATGAATGCACATTTTTGAGCTTCAAACTGATGGTTGCAATCCACTGCCATCACAGGCGTAACTATCGGTCAGCACGGTTGCTTACGGGCCTGGACCAATCAGGGGCCCGCGTGACTGGAAGATATTGATTGACAGCCGGGGCCCCCTATCGCATTTGACCACTTTTAGTCTGATCGCATTTTACTTTATCGCGAATTTATTTGAATAAAAAATGACGACAACATATTTTACTGATCATTAAATACATGTGTGAAACGAACAATGATGGATTTTGGTGTAATTTGTTTCGAATTGGGACTGGGGAATCCCCGGGTCGGTACGTGAACATGCGTTGCGTGCAAAACAGTAAAAACGTTGAACTTGAGACAGACAATATCGATATGGAGTCGTCGTCAAATTACAAACACAAAAGTGGCTTTCAAAAGCGAAAACGAAAAGAGGAATTCGAGAAATTTAAGAGCTTCTTTAAGAAGATCGCAGTGCTTTTCATGTGTTATGGTGCGCATTCACCAGTGTTTTTGTTTGTTGTTGTGGTGCGCGTAGGCTACTCCTGAATTTGTCAGTCGTCTCATCTCTTATAAGCTGTGTCTCTATGATCCTATCCTGTCTTGTTCATGGTAGCGTACTCGCACGTGCTGTTAATCCTGCATAAGGGCCCGGTGTAGGCTCGTTACGCCACTGACTGCCATTATAAAGCTTGGAAGAGCCAGGACATTTTATAATATAACTGTATTCGTCTGAAAGAAGAAAGTCACCTAGGATGGCTTGAGGGAGAGTAAATCATGGGATAATTTTCACTTGAAAGTAAATTAACACTACTTTTTTCTACTTTAAAAATAAATACTCAAACCCTTAGTAGATTTACACACACTAAGAAAGTCTAAAAGCGTTGGGTTGTGGCCCGCTCTCTCCTATCCACTCTAAACAATGCTGGGTTGTTTTAAACCAAATTTGGGTAAAATATGGTCAAAACCCAAATGTTGGGTTAAAAATGTAATTTAAAATTTTAACCCAACTTCAACTTTCACTTTCAACTGTAAATTTTTTAATTGCATTTTTAACCCAACATTTGGGTTTGTCCATATTTGACCCAAATTTGGGTTGAAACAACCCAGCATTTTTTAAAGTCTCAGGGTATTGCCGTTCTGAAGGGATTTCTCTCCGAACTAGAACTTCATCAGTGCGACTATTAGTCGATCTGGCGAGCTGTGGAGATCAAGTTCACGTTGAGTTCAGTCTTAGTCCGGCTTGGCGTCGTGCCCGCGCTCTCCTCGTGGTCGGAGTCGCTCTAGCCCGTGTTTTCAGAAGCGTGTTTATTTTCTCTGCAGTGCAGGCTGAGCGAGTGGCGGCTCTTCTTCCGTGCGCACTGCAGATAAGGCTTATTTATAGTGTTCAGAGAGAGAGAGAGCAGTGTGAAGGGCAGAGGCCTGTCGTCTAAACATCAGGAAACCCGGAGACAGGCGGATCGAAGCGTCCTCTGGCCCTGAACGAGGACGGCCCGGATCTGATCCGGTTTGGAGGGACGTCAGCGTGGTCATTCGGTCCTTCTGCTTACACACTCACAGCTGAGGCCGAGAGATCCCGATCACACTCTCCAGACAGAAGCATAGTGTCGGCCCAGATCCGGCCCACATGCGGTACACATGGACTCCACACGGCCCGGATGTGGGCCGGATCTGGGCCGACACTATGTTGCTGTCTGATCAGATCAGTGGATATTTGACTGGTTTTGTCCGTCCTTCTGTTAGACTCTCACACATGAATTATGTTGAATATCTGTCAGCTGTTCAATTTAACTACACAATTAGATAATACCAGTTTAGCTCAACCAGTGACCAAGCAATGCTTCATGTTGTTCAGTGTGTGTGTAAAAAGAGCATTAGCAATTACAGAAAACACACTTCAGCAAAACATGGTATGTATAACGTGGTATATAATGCATATATAACTGGCTTTACGTCATGCTGACTTCTGATCAGAATCTCAGTATGTGTCCTCGCTACAAGCAGAGTAAATAAAGTAAAGATTGTGGACAGGTCAAGAGATATTATACATATCTTCTCTTCTCTGATGACGGGGGCGGGGCTTCTAACCTGTCACTCACATGAGATCAGCCAATAGCAAACCACAACCGTCCAATCAATTCCCCACAGACACAATCAAGCCCCGCCCACATGTGTTCTTGTTCCTGAAGCGCTTCACTCGATATACGACACAATAGAGAAAAGACCAGCGCAACTTCCCTTTCATGACGACTTTAACATGAATAACTTGTTGCATTCATTATTTTTAAGTCACTGTGAATAAAATCGTCTGCTAAATGTAAATAAATGTAAAATAGCATCGCGTATACTTGGCAGAGAAGGCAATCCCAGAATGCACCGCAACGAACTCAGAGAAAAAAAGTATCCAAGATGGCATACAAGTCAAAAGATATGTTTTAAATATTGTAAAAAAGACTATACATTTATTTATTACATTCTAAGAAAAGTATTGATACAAATAGTCTAATGATCCAATTAAACAATATGTATTTTTATTTTTTATATTTAATATGTACTTACACAAGGTTTTTCAACTGACCCATTGTGTTAATTCTTTTGAATGATTTAAAGGCTAACGCGCATGTGTGTGTGTGTGTGTGTGTGTCGTTCCTTACTCCGCTCTCGTCACACACAGGAAGGCAGACGCATCTCAGAGCTCTTCCTGGTGTGGGAGCTGTCCGGCATCCTGATATTCCCACACACACACACACACACACGCACACGCACACACACACACACACACACACACACACACACACACACACACACACACACACACACACACACACACACACACACACACACACACACACACACACACACACACACACACACAGACACAGACACACACACAGACACACACACACTTACACACACAAACACACACTCACACACACACACGTTATTCTATGATTATTCTGGGAGTGATATTCTTAGAGTTTATACATGACATATACATTTAAATAACAATCATCTCAGTCAATATTAGGTAGTTATGAAGCTTTTCACTTTAGAATACCGATCCAAATTATTATTAGTTCCTTTAGAAGGATGAAGACTTGATTCATTACTAATGGGTTACCATTACCTTACATCATGCATTATGCATTATTAATATTAATTATGAACCTGTATATAGTAGTTCTTAGTAGTCTTCAGTGATGTATGAAAAGTATAGTAGTTACTGATTAGCTAAAAGTGAAGTTCCACATTAAACTGAGCGCTATAACTAACCAATGCGTCAATCAGAGGTTCTCGATAGTTAATAGCAGTTACTGGAGTGTTAACAGTGTGTTACTCATGTGTTCCTGTGTAGTTATTCACTAATGAAGGAACAGTGTTATGAAGTGTCACCGGACCTCCTACTCTGTTCTTCACCGTTGTGTGTGTGTGTGTGTGTGTGTGTGTGTGTGTGTGTGTGTGTGTGTGTGTGTGTGTGTGTGTGTGTGTGTGTGTTTTGGCAGGAGTCGAAGAGGACAGCGAGACAGGATCCCCATCTGCCAGAACTGGATAGATTTGGATCCCGAACAGGCCGTCAATCCGATCGAGAGCATCGAGGCCGTGACTGAGATGGTGGACGGGAAAGAAAAGGTGTCACTTCCTGTTTGAATTATTCTTATTTCCTGAAGATTTCCCATAAATGTCTGAACCAAATTGATGTGCCCGCAGCCTGAACCCTGAGCGCTGTCCTGTGCCGCCGGTTTTCCCAAACTTGTCATCCAGGGTGTGGGAGGGGGGAGGTGTGTGTGTGTGTGTGTTTTGCGTTACAGTTTCCACTTTCGAAATATTTAAACCCATCGTCCAGTTCTTGCTTCCTGGATGGAGACGGAATAGACACATTAACACAGCACTCACTTCCTGTTTGCTGTCACACCTGTGAGGTCACTTCCTGTGTGTGACCCTGGGAGCTGTGAGAGTAACAGCTTAAACTCATCATTTATTCACTCTTGTTTCATTCTGAACCCCTTTCTTCTGTTAAACGCGAAATTGAATTTTCTTTTTCCCACTATATCTTCTCTCGAGACTGTTGTTCCGGCTTGAAACAACAACATGATTTGGACGAACTATTCCTTTAGCAATGTCTTTTTGCTGTGATCCCAATGTTTTTTTAAATCTTGAATGGGAATGTTCTCTGCTGTTTCCCCAGACTGTGGGCCGTGTGGTGATTCAGATCGCCAATGTGTCGGCCATGTACAAGTGCTCGGCAGAGAACAAAGTGGGAAGAGATGAGCGACTGATATATTTCTACGTAACCAGTGAGTTTCACCAACACACTTATGCCGAACAAAGCTGATTGGATCTTTAATAACATCACTAAAGCTATTCTTTCTTTCACTTTGTGACACTGATGGTGGTCACTACTTCGACTATATTTAAAGAGATAGTTCACCCTAAAATGGAAATGAAGTCATAATTTACTCACCCTGGTGTAGTTCTAATGCCATACGCCCTTCTTTCTTTTATGGACCACAAAAGGAGGTTTTTGGTAAATAAATGTCCCGCTCGCGCTCGTCCATATAATGGCAGTGAATAGCGACTGGCATCACGCTTTTATAAAAAGATGCAAAAGTATCACATCAATTCATTTTGCGTCTTTTTTAAAGCGTGATGTTTGTCGCTATTCACTGGCATTATATGGACGAGCGCGAGCGGGACATTTATTTACCAAAAACCTCCTTTTGTGGTCCAGATTACTTGTACTTCACTTCCAAAAACTGTACATTTAACAGTATTTTACTGTAAAATTGCATGAAATGTCCCGTTAGATCTATTACAGTTTACAATACAGTAAATCTAACTAATGTTACTGTAGCATTTTTACCATCTTTTACTGTTAAAATGACATTTTTTAAAGTGCACAGACCAAGTGTGTCGCACACGTCCTGAAAAGTGAAGCCAAAGCGTTTTGATCGCCCCCTGGTGGCTGGATGCAGTATAAGCCCCGCCCCCTCCATATAAGCGAATGGGACGCGACTCAACCTAAAAAATCCCCCAAAAAAATTCAAAAGATGGTTTCTGTTATTTTAGGCAGGACGTACTGGATGTTCAAGCGTTCGTTTTTCCAATAAGTTTGGATATGGTTAGTTATTTGATGCTGTAAAAATAAAAACGAGGTGTGCCGTCATGATTGACAGCTGTGCTGAGTCTGTGGGCGGGACATCGGTGCTGCGGCTACACCCCATAATGACGTAATCGGCAACTACCGTTTCTAGGATATTTGGGCTTCATTTTTCTACAGAGGATGGAAGTGGAGATGCGGCGTCCATCTTACAGTCTATGGCACAGACACACACATTAATGACACCTCTAGTTGAGTGGTTTATCCAGGAGAGGTGTGCCATTATTTTTCTCATTATATGCATTGCTTTCCTATTTACTCACTTAATAATGTTGGGTTAAAAATAACCCAACGAGTAACCCAACTGTGGAGTGGTATAGCACCTTCCCAACTGTGGGTTATGTTAACCCAATGCATTGGGTTAAAAGCCAGTTGGGTTAAAAGTAACCCAACAGTTAAGTTAACTATTTGTTTTTATTCATGTTATTATTTAAATGAATAAAATACACTTAGTTTTCAAATACAGATTGTTTATTTGTATAAAACAATAAATATGTCTCAACAAATATATTTTTAAATTACAAACTAAATATTTGGGAGTTTAGAATCTAATGTAAATACACATAATTGTGTACATAAATTCAAGAATACACAAGTGTACATACAACATACATATTTAACCCAATAGCTGGGTTATTCCAAAAATTTACCCAATGATTAATTTTTTTAAATAACCCAGCATAGTGACCCAATACGTGTAACCCAATGGCTGGGTTAAAAAATAACCCAACGTTTTTTTTTTTTTTTTTTTTTTTTTTTACTGCGCAGCTATCCCAGAAGGCTTCGGGATAGAGACGGAGCCCTCTGAGGATCCTCTGGAGCAGGATCTGGTGCGCCTGAAGTGTAACGCAGATAACTACACCTACGAGAACCTGCGCTGGTACCGCCTGGACCCGCAGGCCGTTCCTCCAGAGCTGGACTGCAAGAGTCTGCACCAGTACGCCGAGGCTCTGGGCGGGAATCTGTCCTTCCACGCCGCCAGCAACAACTGGGTCCTGGAGCTCAGCATCACCAGCATCCAGCTGCAGGACGAGGGCAACTACGTGTGCGAGGTGCAGAACCGGCGCACTGGGGAGAAACACTGCCACCGCAAGTACATCCCAGTCAAAGGTGAAGCGCATTCACTGCTCAAATCTAGATGGCCAGTTTCACTTGCACACAGTTCAGTATCTGCAGCAGGGACTAACTCCCAAACCCTGTATGGCAATATATATCCTTACCACGGTATAGCATGTCTATGGTTATGATTTTGCGAAGAGAACTCAATGCGCTGACGCACAGAAAGCCGTGCGATCGTGAATTCAGTTCTTAGATCTCGTTCACGTCTTATTGCGCTTGAATGGTCGAAAACACACGCAATCATGTCCGAATGCCCATCATTTGGAGTATTCATGTACACACAGACGGTTGTGTGTCAGGGGAAAGTACACAGTTGTGTGTAAACCGGATGTGTGTCAGTATATTGGATCCGTGCGTTTGGTCTTAAAGTGACGGTAGCCTAATAAACCTGCGGCTCTGTGTCATTAATGTGAATCTAATAAAAGAGAAAATAACTTACGGAATAACTTTATTAGCTTTAATAAGTTTACATTTAATTCATACAGTGAAGATTTAGCAATAATTTTTTTTCTAGATCATTAATTTTCTGTACTAGTTCTAACTACATGTTAATTAAACCTACTGTACCTAAAAAAACTTCATTTGTTTAATTAATATTTTTCTTATATTCTATTTGTACCATTGTTTATAATTTGCTTATTTTTTCTTATTTTTAATAACAGAAATTAGGTAAAATAACTGTCGTGATATACATCGTTATCGTGAAATAGACTATATAAATTCCTCCACTTTGAGCTGATCATGTTCTGCTGAAGTGTGTTTTCTGTAATTGCTAATCCTCTTTTTACACACACACTGAACAACATGAAGCATTGCTTGGTCACTGGTTGAGCTAAACTGGTATTCTCTAATTGTGTAGTTAAATTGAACAGCTGACAGATAATCAACATAATTCATGTGTGAGAGTCTAACAGAAGGACGGACAAAACCAGTCAAATATCCACTGATCTGAGAACTCTGAGTTCTGCTCATGTTTATCACCATTTTCTAAACTATAGCGAATAAACTCTGATAAACTCTCTCTCTCTCTCTCTGGGTCCCAGCACTGGAGGCTCCTCGATACCGGCACAACCCCAGCAATCAGACGGTGAATGTGAGCGAGTCTCTGCAGATGGAGTGTGATGTGGAGGGCACCCCCTCTCCACAGCTGTCCTGGTTTAAAGATAACCAACCCCTGCATCAGATCTCAGGTCAGTCACTCGTGGCCTTCAGCACTCTTACTAGCGCACTTTATACTAGCTGTCTTTAACTAACACACACTGCTGTCTAAATTAATCATTTGATGCAATGCACTTATTGTGTACATGCATGTTTTTATGTTGTATATATATATATTAGGGCTGTCAAATGATTAATCACGATTAATCACATCCAAAATAAAAGTTTTTGTTTACATAATATATGTGGGTGCACTGTGTATAATTATTTTATATATATAAACACACACACATGCTTGTATATATTTAAGAAATATTTTCATGTATATACTGTATATAGATTTATATATAATTTATATTAGATATAAATATAAATATTTTATATATAAATAATATTTTTTTCTTAAATATACATGCATGTGTGTGTATTTATATATATACAAAATAATTATACACAGTGCATCCACATATATTATGTAAACAAAAACTTTTTTTTGGATGTGATTAATCGTGATTAATCATTTGACAGCCCTAATTTATATATGTGCAACATTTTGTGTTTAGGAGTGATTAGGAGCTTAACAAATAGAGCATTCCTGAGAAATAGATCACAATACATTTCTTTATCAACAGAAAGTAGGCTAATCATATGTAACACAACACTGCATAGTCTTCACTGTATAAATTAAATATAGATTAATGCTACTAAATCTAGAGCAGTGAGTGATTTTCTCTTTGTCTTTTGTTATTTGATTAAGATTAATGACACAGACGGCAGGAATATTAGGCTACTGTCACTTTAAGAGCGAATGCACTGATCCAATATACTGATACACGTGCCACTTATTTCCCAGCTGTTAATGTTCACGTAAGACATAAGCGTGAAGGAAAGAAACGCACTCAAATATATCACAGCCATCCTTTCTTGCTGTCATAATGTCTTCGCAACACCATTCTCAGATTTTCGTCAATCATTTTTACAGTGTAGTCTGATTAAAATTAAATGTATTTTAACTGAATTTGAATGCAAATGAATTTTGTTTAGATTTGTTAAACAAATTTTAATGCTTGCAATTAAATGTGCGTTTAATTGACTTAGAACATGATATTGAAAGTATTCTGTACACAGATGTAAAGTACAATACATTACAAAAAGTGTGTTTAGAAATATTGTCATTAAAGCGTACTTTCTTTAAGTACTCTTAAGTGGCCTTTAATTATAATTATATTATATTATCTTCAAGGAAGCTTTTCAAAAAGTATGCCTTCAATACAGTTAATCACAGTTGTTTTTCCCGAGGCAGAACTGAAGGACCAGTTGTGAAGTAATTGTTTGTCTCGTGATTTTTGCGTCATCTTTACATTGACCCTGATCAAACTATATAACGGTATTATTGGCTGAGAACGACTGGAGCTCCCTTATTCCCACAACACTAAACCTGTATCCCACTTCAGCCGTGTTTCACAATACAGCATCAACACAATAAGTACATTGTACCTAAAAATGTACTATTCTTTTTTGCCGCAAGAACACAGTAGTAGAGACACCTAATATAAAGAGCTAAGCTAAGTGTTAGTTAATAATGTGAGTTTGTGAATAATAATGTGAATATGAGATTGTGAAGTAGTCAATGATATCGCATCATCTGTTTTAAATGTACACTATTTTCTTCTATTTCTCTGCATGTTGTTCAGCCCTCCTTCAAATTAACATAAATGTACTATTCAAAAGCGATTCCATTATAGATTACATTATGCGCACCGCAGCAATCCCCTCTAGCTTAGCACATTTGAATAGGAACACACTTATTCATGAGCACATACTAACACTCTCTCTCTCACACACACACACACACACACACACACACACTAAACCGATCTCCAGTGCTGGAGTAAAGCATTCAGGACTCGCGTATAAACAGCTCTGGGAATGTGTGTGTGTGGGCCGTAAGTGAATTCGCATGCAGTGCATGTACAGGTTGTGGAAAGGTGTTATGCGGAGGATATTATATCGGGAGCAAACTGAGTTCAAGAGTTAGCTTGTTCTTTTAGCAGGAGTGTGTGACTGGAATGTGTTAAACTGGCCATCACGGACTGGCCATCACTTTCCCGGTGGGCCGACGTGCTTTTTGGGCCGATACATCTCATACTTAAAATATATATATATACACTCACCTAAAGGATTATTAGGAACACCATACTAATACTGTGTTTGACCCCCTTTCGCCTTCAGAACTGCCTTAATTCTACGTGGCATTGATTCAACAAGGTGCTGAAAGCATTCTTTAGAAATGTTGGCCCATATTGATAGGATAGCATCTTGCAGTTGATGGAGATTTGTGGGATGCACATCCAGAGCACGAAGCTCCCGGTCCACCACATCCCAAAGATGCTCTATTGGGTTGAGATCTGGTGACTGTGGGGGCCATTTTAGTACAGTGAACTCATTGTCATGTTCAAGAAACCAATTTGAAATGATTCGAGCTTTGTGACATGGTGCATTATCCTGCTGGAAGTAGCCATCAGAGGATGGGTACATGGTGGCCATAAAGGGATGGACATGGTCAGAAACAATGCTCAGGTAGGCCGTGGCATTTAAACGATGCCCAATTGGCACTAAGGGGCCTAAAGTGTGCCAAGAAAACATCCCCCACACCATTACACCACCACCACCAGCCTGCACAGTGGTAACAAGGCATGATGGATCCATGTTCTCATTCTGTTTACGCCAAATTCTGACTCTAACATCTGAATGTCTCAACAGAAATCGAGACTCATCAGACCAGGCAACATTTTTCCAGTCTTCAACTGTCCAATTTTGGTGAGCTCTTGCAAATTGTCGCCTCTTTTTCCTCTTTGTAGTGGAGATGAGTGGTACCCGGTGGAGTCTTCTGCTGTTGTAGCCCATCCGCCTCAAGGTTGTGCGTGTTGTGGCTTCACAAATGCTTTGCTGCATACCTCGGTTGTAACGAGTGGTTATTTCAGTCAAAGTTGCTCTTCTATCAGCTTGAATCAGTCGGCCCATTCTCCTCTGACCTCTAGCATCAACAAGGCATTTTCGCCCACAGGACTGCCGCATACTGGATGCTTTTCCCTTTTCACACCATTCTTTGTAAACCCTAGAAATGGTTGTGTGTGAAAATCCCAGTAACTGAGCAGATTGTGAAATACTCAGACCGGCCCGTCTGGCACCAACAACCATGCCACGCTCAAAATTGCTTAAATCACCTTTCTTTCCCATTCTGACATTCAGTTTGGAGTTCAGGAGATCGTCTTGACCAGGACCACACCCCTAAATGCATTGAAGCAACTGCCATGTGATTGGTTGATTAGATAATTGCATTAATGAGAAATTGAACAGGTGTTCCTAATAATCCTTTTGGTGAGTGTATATATATATATATATATATATTTTTTTTTTTGTGTCTGAATTGCCCATAAAACCTGTACATCAGCGGCCCATTCGTTTAGTTTTGTTTGGCTTAATTGGCGGCGCTGGGATCTTTGCGCCGGTGTAATGCATTGAACAAGAAAAGTCAGCGTAGGTTTTTTCTTCTTCTCACAGACCAGCCCATTAAATGCGTAGATCAGCGGCTCATTGGTTCTTTTCTTGATTGACACTCGGCTGGCCCAATCAAATCTTTAACCAAAAAATCTTTTTTTTGTCCCAGTCCAGCCCTACGTGTTCATCTATATGCGCGTTTGAATATATATGTGCGCAGGCGTGTAGTCTTACTTTACAAAGTTTCTCAACACTCTTAAAAAAAGCTTCTGCTTATTGTCGCTGTATAAATACAGTCCGTAATAATGCTTGATTTTGCAAACTGTTGTTTGTTATCATGTCGTTTTAGATGTATTATCATAGGCGTAAACACACTGGTTTGTAGCGCAAATATTCTTACTGTTTACTGCACTTTGTTTTTCTTCTAGTTGTTTCCCTAAAGCGGAGAAATGAATGCCAAGTCTCGCACATTCACAGAAAATAGATTACCTCTGTGCTGCAAAATAAGGAGATACATGAGTGGAGTTAAATACTGCTCGTCACATGTTAAACCTACGCTAAACTCAATTATCTGACTATAATTATCATTTAGTATATGTGACATTAAAATAACACTCTAAATATGATATAAATAATATTATAATGTTTATGTTATGCTTTAAATGGTAAAATTGTGTTAATTAGCGTTGGCTGACTTAAATTGTGACGGGCGACTCGCAGGACGTCTTGGATTTTTAGATGAAGGTTCTTTATTGGTATTGATAGTTCCATGAAGAACCTTTAAAACTGTATGAAACCTTTCAAATGCACAGAAGATTCAATGGTTCATCGTTCCCTCGCACTTTGAAACACATCTTTCTCTCGCGGGTCAAAATGACCAGAAAACCTAAAATTAGACAGAATTTTTTTGTGTGTCCAGAAAGCTTATTTGATCTCATTTTGATAATATGTTTTCTATTTTTTAATACAATTTTTGGAGAGATATTTTTTGTTATTTTTTATTTTGTTTACCTTTAAATTACTAGATTTGATCAATAAATAATAAATAAATAGTAATTTAAGCATAAGTAATTTAATTCAGAATAACTCACAATTTCATGCATAACCCTTTTAATTCAGCTCTAAATATCTTGCATCGGGAGTCATTGCCGACCTCTTTTGGAAAATAAATAATATAAGATGATATTTCATGACTCTAGATGGGCTTATAGCCACAGAAATCCATAATAAAGGCTAGATGTCTTACGGCGGAGTCTCTATCGTCATCACCGGCGGCCATCTTGTCACAGGCAAGGCTCTGTGGTGCCTGATGTAAGATGAGTGATCAGCACGAACACAAATACTCTTATCTCGGTGAAATCTTGACGGATTTACAAACGGTTTGGTTTCTTACAAACGTTATTAACGTGGCTATAATTCTGGATGATTATTTATTGATACACTTATTATTCATAAGTTTGCAGTGTCATAAATACATCTCTGACGTTTATAACAAACCAAACCGTTTGAAAATCGGTAAAAAATTGAGCAAGTTATGGTTATTTAAAAAGTACATGCACCATTAAAACACAATGTTACGAGTGAGCGAGCTGCCTGTGGCAAGATGGCCGCCAGTGTGGACGTCGACCTCTATTGGCCAGCAGCGCGGACGAGACATCTAGCCTTTATTATGGATATCTATGCTTATAGCTCTATGAGCTGTTCCACTGGGTCCTAAAGTCTTTTCTCTTCAGTATGCATTCAGATACACATGTAGACATTATAAAATATTTTTGTGGTGACGTTTTAGCATTTTTAGTTTGAATTTTGAGTCTTCTATGTGAACTGAAGCATTCCTCGCATTCCATTCATTCCTAAGGGGGTCAAATTGACCCACGAGGGAAGGATTTGTTACTTTTTTTTACATTTCAACCACAAAACTCCTCGAATACATTTAAAAAAATTATGTGTGTGTTTTTGTGGTTCAAGTGCAACAAAAGTCCTGGGGTCTTGGACCCTCTGTTTAACACATAATTAAAAAAAAAAAAAGACCCGCGGGAAGGATGAGGGTGAACTGATCGAAGGTTCTTTGAGGAACCAAAAATGTTTCTTCTGAGGCATCAACACCCTTTTTTTAAGAGGGCCAATCCATATGCGTTAAGAACTCACTCATTCACATCGTTGGCCTGCTTTTATAAGTTCATTTTGTACACCGTTTCTCGTTGAACCAATTCAGGGGTAGATAGTGAAGGTGTTGATGATTGAAGAATATCACAGGACTTGCGGTTCAGAAAACAGAAAGCCGGCAGATTGTGTGTTTGACAGTTTTGTGGATGTGTACAGGGATCCTGCTTCAGGACTCCAACCGGACTCTCAGCATTCAGCGAGTGCGAGAGGAGGACGCCGGTCTGTACACCTGCTCCGCCTGCAACCAGAGGGGGTGCGTTCAGTCCTCGGCCACGGTGTCCGTCATCGGTGAGAACCTCCAGGTGGCGCTGTAGGATACAGTTCACTCTTCTGCCTTGCCCTTCAGACAGCAACATAGAGTCGGCCCAGATCCGGCCCACATCCGGTGCAGATGAGTTCCACACGGCCCGGATCTGGGCCGACACTATGTTGCTGTCTGGAAAGTCATTTAGTAGAGCATAAACAGTAGGTACAAGCTCATACACGGACTAACACACTCTTTTGTTTTATGTTACGGGGGGGTTCATCCATTGACTTCTATATTTTAACCCTAGTGCATCAATTAAAAAAAGTTACACATAAGTGTCAAAAATGTCTGTCTTAAAAATGTGCAGCTTGAGAGCGCAGACAGTTTGGTCTCATTTTAAAGAAGACCCGTGGCAGATTATTGTTGAAGTAAAACTAGTTTAAAAGGTAAAACAAAATTAAAGTTATATAGGTTTAAGTTTATGAAATGATTTATTTTATATAAAATGTATATTTGTATATGAAACATGTTGAACTCTAAAACTGCTAGAAAATCAAAGCCATAAATCTAAACGAGTCGTGTTCCAAATTTGAGGTTGATATCTTAACAAACGAGCTTTCAGAGAGAGTGTGTTTGGGCGCAGTGACACATCTTCCCCACTAGATGCAGCAAAACTCACTGGGACACAGCGGCTGGATCTGTGATTCGCAGTTTCTCTCTCAAATATTACAAGCACACACACACACACACGTTTGGTGAGAACCCCTCTCTCGTGCGCTAGGTGGCGCTGTAGTATACAGTTCACTCTTCTGCCTTGCCCTTCAGTTTAAGTCATTTAGTAGAGCATAAACAGTAGGCACAAGCTCATACACAGACTAAAGGCTCGTACACACCGGGACGAATATCGGCGCGCGTTATTCGGCAGCGTTTTTCAACGCGTTTTTTGTGTTCACACCCAAGCGATTTTCGCTGACGATGAGCCGAGTGAACATGCAAATTCATTCCCTGACATTAGATGGCGCCCATTTGCTCTGCAATACCACTCCATAACATTCTCTTTTATCAAGATTTTTGTAGTCGCTGTGGCGTTTGTCATATAGTTCTTTATGTTCCGACACCAACGAGACCAGCAGCTCTACATTCATCTTGCCTTGCATCTTCCTCGTCTTATTTCTTCCCGGCAGTGTAGACGCTACTTGGCGTATATCTTCTTCACTGTTACGTATGTGTGCTCGGCAAGACCGTTTTGTGTTTGAGCGCCCCCAAGTTGTGTTTTACTGTAACTTCAGAAGCTCCAGACACGTGAGCAAAAGCGCCAATCTCATTGGTCGGATAGTTTTTGACGCGGCGCGTCAAACTAAAAAAACGAACCCGAGGCGTTTTTTAAAAATTGACGCTTTTACGTGTGGCGTTTTACGCGTCGGTGTGCACACTCACATTGGCGCCCTTTGTTTAGTCACGAGGCGTTAAACGTCGGCGAATATCACGCGCGAAATTCGTCCCGGTGTGAACAGGCCTTAACACACACTTTTGTTTTATATTACGGTGGGGGAGGGGGGGGGGGGGGGGTCACCTATTGACTTCTATTCCGAAGCTAATGTTAACCCATGTATGACACCCCAACTCTACTCTAACTAATGAGGCGTTTACACGACATTGTTTTCAACTAAAAACGGAAAGCGTTTTATGGCCGTTCATGCACACGACAGCGGCGGTTTGGGGGACTGAAAACGCAAACTTATGAAAACGGGTTTCAAAGTGCAAGTTTTTGAAAAATATACCGTTGCCGTCTCCGTGTAAACAACACAAGCGTGAATTTGTGCAAACGGTGATGTCATGTACATGCATATTACGTGTTCAGGCGGGTAGTGTTTCTTTACAAATAGACATCGCCATCTACTGGCCTGGCAGTGAATACAGCGATTCTACACGCTTTCATGGATCGTGCGAACGGGCACCGCTTTGACAACAAAACACAAAGCAAAAACGTTTCCGTTTTTGATACATCGTTGTCGTGTAAACGTACCCTGAAACTACAGCTTTTGAACTTTTTAAATTTGCAATTTAAACGTATTTAGTCTTTTATAACCTTCATGCATTTCTTCTTTACCATTTAAATGTTTGTGTATTAATATATAAAAACTCGACAAATTAAAATATTGTGCAAAAGTTCATTTATTTCAGTAATTCAACTTAAAAGGTGAAACTAATATATTATATAGACTCATTACATGCAAAGTGAGATATTTCAAGCCTTTATTTGTTATTATTTTGATGATTATGGATTACAGCTTATGAAAACCCCAAAGTCAAAATTAGAATATTGTAAAAAAGGTTTTCATCTGTAATCCATAATAATCAAAATTATAACAAATAAAGGCTTGAAATATCTCACTTTGCATGTAATGAGTCTATATAATATATTAGTGTCACCTTTTAAGTTGAATTACTGAAATAAATGTTTTCTAATTTGTCGAGTTTCACCTGTATTAGTTCATGGAATATAATTTTGATTTGTTCAAAATATAATTTTGTAGCATTTTTTTTTGAGGAAAAACAAGCAACAAATTGGCAATAAAATCATATTTGTCACACTTTATCATGAGAATTTTGATTTTGCAAAACAAACACTGGATCTTTTACATGCAATTAGAAAAAATGATTTTTAGAAGACGTGAGCTTTTATGTTCTCTTCTAAGCTTTAACACAAGCACATGTTTTGTCTGCCAGGCTCTGATGACAAGACCAATGTAGAAATAGTGATTCTCATCGGGACGGGGGTCATCGCCATCTTCTTCTGGGTCCTTCTCCTCGTCATCTTCTGCAACGTGAAGCGGGTCAGTGCACTCTACCACTGTACATCCACATCTCTCCAGGCATTCCTGCGGTATCGCATATGTATCTCCGATCGGTTGTGACATTTGCATGTAAGGTGTTTTTGAGTGTCACCTAAAATATGTTTCATGTGTTTTATCTGCATGTCCTAGAGTGTCACGTAACGCGCCTATAAATAAAATGTATTATTGTTAATATTAATAAATCACAACAGCTCGATACATACGGCTCTGTTGAGGAATGTAGCGCACATTGATGTCTGCAAGGCCTTTCAATAACAATATGCAATTACATCAATAATGCCTTGCCTTCAGCGCAACGTGTGAGCGAAAGCATGAGTAGCGGAGTCAGCCTCGGGCTCGCGCTCTTATGGGCCGCGGGATCATCCAGAAGTAATGCTTATGATGTTGTCCTGCAGGTGAACCCGGCCGATATCAAGACCGGCTATCTGTCCATCATCATGGACCCGGGAGAAGTGCCGCTCGAGGAGCAGTGTGAATACCTGCCCTACGACTCCAGCCAGTGGGAGATATCCAGAGACCGGCTGCGGCTCGGTACTGTCCCTGATCCTTCAGTTCAGCAGCTCTGATGTGGGATTCAGATCGGCACTAACACAGAGCAGTCACGGCTGCTAGCCCAGAAGTGAAGCGTCTTAAAGTCCCCTTTTAGTCAATAATTGAATTCCTTATTACTCATCTTTGATCACCAAAATGAAATATTTTTCATTGGTTTGTTTTTAGTTATGCTTTAAAATAGCTTGAATGTAACTCTACACCCTTCTATGAATATGCAAATGAGCCCCGCCTCCACTCACTCCCTCAGCTCAGAGATCCACTGGTTGACGATCACACGTTGATCTGATTGGTTACAAGGTCGTTTGTGACGTCAGAAACACCAGCGATTTCAAACCGTGTTTTTGAGACTGTCTTTGGTTCACTGCAGTTTTAAGCAGAAAATACTCAGCAATGCTGTCGACTTATGAAGTAAAAGGAGGGAAATTCAGGTCGTTTGTGAGTTGATGAAAAAGCTAATAATTGAATCAAATTTAACATTAAAATAAAAAAATGGGACTGCACAATTAATCTAAATGAAACTGAAATAGCAGTATATCTCCTGAAATCGAGATTTAAAGAAGCATATAGTATGCTTATTATAATATGCTTATAATAGCGTGTTTTCAGAGCGGTTCACAGTAAAAGCTGAACTAGATTAATGTGCGTTAGGGGTTGAGGGTTCACTTCATTTACAGTCGCGTAATTTTTGTGGACAGAATTTCACCAATATTCCTCTAAAATAGGATTTAAGGGTTTAAACGTCAATAATTTTATCTCTTAAAACTCATCTTTGATCACCAAAATTACATAGTTAAAAGTTTTTTCTTGGAAAAAATGTCTTCATGTTTTAAAATATCTTGAGTGTAACTCGACACCCTCGCCTCATTTAGTATGCGCGGTTCTATGAATATGCAAATGAACCCTGAGGAGTTAACTTCCCAGTTATTTAAAGTAAAGTAGTGTCGATTTATTCAGGCGTGTTTAATAATAAATTTCACTGTACTGTTTTGGGACGCACACACACCCTAATCTCATGATGAACAGTGAAACGTGTGTTCCCAACACTTCTTCTGTGTGTGTGTGTGTGTGTGTGTTTGCAGGGAAGGTGCTCGGGCATGGAGCGTTCGGGAAGGTGATCGAAGCTTCGATGTTTGGACACGACAAGAAAGCCTCCTCAAACACAGTGGCTGTGAAGATGCTGAAAGGTTCGGTCTCACCCATACACTGCAGTGAACACAGAAATGCCCGTTGACTCTCGCACACGTTTACTGAAGTGTTGTGTATGACAGAGGGAGCCACCGCCAGCGAACACAAGGCGCTGATGTCAGAACTGAAGATCCTCATTCATATTGGAAACCATCTCAACGTGGTCAACCTTCTCGGAGCATCTACCAAACCCAACGGTAGGGGTTATAATCCATCATAAAACAGATCCTTGTGTTCCTCTATGCAGATTCCCAGACAGCAACATCGGCTACGCTGAAACTAACGATGTCCAGGTTCAGATCCGATCTGTGTGTCCATGCAGCGGTTTCGTTCTCTGCAATATTTGCATTGGTTTCTATGGCAATGGCGTCAAATACTACAACAAAAACCACAACATGTGGATTCAACACGGCTTGGCCGGATCTGGGCCGACACTATGGGCTGTCAGTCCAAATCTGATTTTTGTGCATATCCGATTGAAACCAGATCAGATGTAGCTAGTGTGAATGGCCAAAAATCACAATAAATGCAATTTTTATAAATCCGTTTCGATCCATATGTGGTTTGAAAATCCTATTCAAATCAAGTTTCTGGAAATCCGTTTCAGTCTGATCGGATTTCACGTGGTTTACGTCTAATAAAACGTAGAACGTCAGTCGTTGTTATAGCAAACATGCTAAACATTTGATAGTGATAGTGATGTTTTACATTTTACAACATGGAAATGTTTAGCATGTTTGCTATAACAACGACTGACGTGAAACCACGTGAAATCCGATCAGACTGAAACGGATTTCCAGAAATGTGATTTGAATAGGATTTTCAAACCACATATGGATCGAAACGGATTTATAAAAATTGCATTTCATGTGATTTTTGGCCATTCACACTGGCTACATCTGATCTGGTTTCAATCGGATATGCACAAAAATCAGATTTGGACTGACAGTCCATAGTGTCGGCCCAGATCCGGCCCAGCCGTGTTGAATCCACTATGAACGACACTATGGGCTGTCAGTCCAAATCTGATTTTTGTGCATATCCGATTGAAACCAGATGAGATTTAGCTAGTGTGAATGGCCAAAAATCAGATTCGGGGTGTGACGGTTCACACAATTCCCGGTTCGGTTCGGTACGACACAGTGGTGTCACGGTTCGGTGCGTTTTCAAAACAGCAAAAAGAAATAAATGTCAGAGAAATTTCCTTGATTTTTTTACTTATTAAAAAAAATAATAATAATAAGTGTGAGTTTTCCTACATCTTGAAACGTTCAGGTTTATAAATGGGGGCAATTTTTGAAGGATGAACAAATAATGTTTTGATCATCACTTTAAAAATAACATTTGATATGACAATAGATATGATTTGTTAGGATAAAACTCATTTGAAATGAGTTTTGAAGTGCTGGAAAAAGATGTGTGGCATACTTGAAAGTATTTTACTATTCCTGGCAAACGTCCACAGTTACAGTGAGTTTTACTACAGTAAAGCCATGGTGAATGTTGCAGATCTGTGGACTTAAAGCCTATAACTAGTTCATTCACGGCACAAGGTGTCTCCTGGTTTCCACGTCAGCGCTGTTTGATCTGTTAATAACAGAGACATCTGAATGCTTTCACTAGATCTCGCAGCGATGTTATTACTTCAGTGGCGAACTCAAATGCTTTCTTCACTGGATCTCTCAGCGCTGTGTATCACTGATCTAGATCGGCTCGCGCTGCATTGGTCCAAACTGATAAACGGTCCGTCAACCACACAATAATGAGTAGCGCAGTTTCGTTCCGCTTTCATCATGTTTGCCATCTGATGTGGTGGTCGTGCCAGCGCGACTGCTAGGGAAAATGCTCCAACGAACCGTACGGTTCAATACGAATACGTGTATCGCTACACTCCTACAGCATATCGTGTCTAACATTATTGTTTAATTGTATCCCTCAGTATTTGTCGGCTGCATCCTTCCACACTTCTCTCTAAACCTCTGTGCTTGATCTGATTGTCAGGTCCTCTCATGGTCATAGTGGAATATTGTAAATATGGAAATCTCTCCAACTTCCTGCGTGCCAAGAGGGAGTTTTTCTTACCGTACAGGGTAACGGGACATCTTTTATAACACGATGAACTGCATATATGCTTCCCTTTATAAACAGCACGACAATTAACTCCAGTGAGATGTGGTGTAACATGAGCTTGTGTTTGCAGGATCGTTCTCCTAAAACCCAGAGTCAGGTGCGCCGCATGATCGAGGCGGGTCAGGCCGGTCCGCTTGAGCGTCAGGCGTCCGCCTCCTCCAACACCAGCCCTGCGGCGGCACAGTCTCGCGGTGAGAGACAACACACACACACACACACACTGGCAGATTACACAGCCCTGCATCTTACATACATAACGAGTTGGTAACACTTTACTTGAAGGGGTGTGCATAAGACTGACATGACGCATGAATATGAAGGAGGGTTTATGCATGTTTATGACAACTGTCATTAAGTGTCGTTCGCTCAATTATGACATTTTTAATGCAAATATGACATTGTTTGAGATGTCTTTGTTATGACACCTTGACATAAACCAATAAATCATAACCTGCAGTGTCTTTGTCATGTCAACTTGACATTACTAAGACAACACAACCTGTCATAAACATGACATAGCAGATTAATGATCAAACTTAAGAAAGCACTTAGCTTTATGGGTTAACATTACATTAAACTGTCAGGTGGTTGGTCTTAGCATTGGCTGTCATGAGGCATTATAACATGTTAATGACAAATTCAATGTGTACCACTGTAGTTGAGGCCAAGAAAAATATTCATGACACAGTTATAATGGCCTTATGACAGCATATAAAAATATTCTCCATCTGTAAATGTTTGAAAATCATGCAAATATTTCCGTCAGGAGTGAATCTCCGCTAAACTTCACAGATTTCCGTGAACGAGCGCGCCAAAACAAATGGAGCGCAATTGAATAGGAGCGCAAAAATTCTGACTGAAATATACATATTGCTTAAATATTTGTTGTTGGACAATAAAAGTGTATTTTTATGATAGCGGTAACTCTAAAATTACTACTGTAATAGGGGAATCAAATGTAGGTTAATGTGTTTTTGTTTGAAATTATTTACATTTTTTAGTTTAGTGAAAAAAAAAAAAAAAAAAAATTTTTTTGAAGGCTTTCATTGTTTCCAGGACAACATTGGGCAGAATGTGATCTTTTTATTTTTTTATTATATAAATACAGTTTTTAAAAAATCCAAAAACGTAGAGAATACCAAGATACCTTACTGTATACGAGATGTATACCGCCATTCAACCTAAAAATACCGAGATATGTTTTTTTGACCATATCGCCCAGCGCTAAAACATCGTGAATTTATCATCAGGGCAACTTTACATAGTCTTGCAATCACAACTGGGAAACTCAGAGATAATTTTGATGGCCAAGTGTCCGAGTTGTGCGGGGCCAAAGCCACATGGCAGAGAAGAGTACAGCACGGTTTATGTAGCAAATTATAGGTTTCATTCTTTTATCTAAATACAGCCGACTTGTTAATATGCATGTCAGTGATGATTTGATGCAGATTTAAAAAAAGGTTTAAGGATAATGGCATGTAGTTGAATTTTAAAATATGCTCCAGTAAACCTGGGTTTCATGTTTTCGACAACAAAGCCCTTTGAACGTGACATACTCGTAATTCCGACTTCTGAAGTGGGAAGTGGGACTTCTCCGATAGCACATGCAGGCATGTGGGAGTCCCACAGAGGGCTATAAAGAGCTTAATGAGGAACTGTTAACAGAGCAGAACATCATGAAGACATTGAGGACGGCCCTCAGCCCACCTGAGCAATCATCAGCCACAGTGTTTATTAAATAACCTTCCTGACAGCTTGCTTATGTAATTCGTCTATATTTCCCCAGCCGCGGTGGATGATCTCTGGAAGACCCCGCTCACGATAGAGGACTTGATATGCTACAGCTTTCAGGTCGCGCGAGGAATGGAGTTTCTGGCGTCTCGTAAGGTACATTACTGCATAACTTCCTCCCGCTCCTTCGCTCTGATGATCCTCACACTCAGCGGGTTATGGATTATGTTTCAGTGAACATCTCTAATAGCTCTACTATTAAACTCACCTACCAAGTGTCTATCGCTAACAACGCCTAGCAACTAGCTTTGTTAGTACATGCTAGCAACATGCTACGTCACGCTAGCTCCAATGCTAATTCATGCTAGCAGCATGCAAATTCATGCTAGCAATGAGCTAATTCATACTAACAACATGTTAATTCATGCTAGCCATGCACTAATTCATGTTAGAAATGTGTTCATTTTATGCTTGCAAACGTGTCAAAACATGCTAAATCATGCTAGCGATGTGTTACAACATATTAAAAGGCAAATTCATGCTAGCAATGAGCTAACTCATACTAACAACATGTTAATTCATGCTAGCAATGCACTAGTTAATGTTAGCAATGTGTTAATTAATGCTAGAAAATTTGTTAAAACGTTATCAGCATGTTTAATCATGGTAGCAATGTATTGAATCAAGATAGCAACGTGTTAAAACATGCTTGAAACATGCTAAATCATGCTAGCAATGTGTTACAACATATTACAATGCAAATTCATTAAAACATGCTAGCAAAATAGTAATTCATGTTAGCAACATATTATATAATGCTAGCAACATGTTAAATCATGCTATTAACGTGTTAAACCATGCTAGCAAAATGCTATTTAATGGCAGCAATGTGCTAAAACATACTAACAATGTGCTAAAACATGCTAACAGCATGTTAAATAATGCCAGCAACCTGCTAATTCGTTTTAGCAATGTATTAAAACATGTAAAGTAAAAACATGCTAAAAACATGCTAGTAAGAATGCTAATTCATGCTAGCAACATGATAAATCATGTTAGCAATGTGCTAATTCATGTTGGCAATGTGGTAAACCATGCTAGCAATGTGCTAAAACATGTTATCAGCATGTTAAATCATGGTGGCAATGTATTAAATCAAGATAAAAACGTGTTAAAACACCTAGCAACATGCTAAATCATGCTAGCGATGTGTTAAAACGTTATTAAAATGCAAATTCAATGCTAGCAACATGTTAAAACATGATAGCAATATAGTAGTTCATGTTTACAACATGCTAGCAACATGTTAAATCATGCTATCAACATGTTAAATAATGCTAGCAACATACTTATTTGTGTCTAGCAACATGCAAATGAATGCCAGCAATGCGCTAAAACATGCTAACAACATGATAAAACATGTTAGCAGCATGCTTAATCATGTCAGTAACGTGCTTATTCATTTTAACAATGTGCTAAATCATGCAAGCAAAATGTTAAATCATGCTTGCAACAAAATAAAAAATGCTAACAATGAGCAAAAAAAGTATAGGCACATGCTAAGAAATGCTAACAACATGATAAAACTTTCAAGCAAAATGATAAAACATACTAGGAATCTTGTAAAACTTTCAGACAAGGCTATTTCAAGCCAACATGAAAGTTGGTCCAGACGAACTTTACTTTCTAGTATAGATTTGCTGAGCTATTGTAAGGTATGGACGTGGTCACTGATCTTGGTTTGGCTCTGATTGTGGCAGTGTATTCATCGAGACCTGGCGGCCCGCAACATCCTCCTGTCCGAGAGCAACGTGGTGAAGATCTGTGACTTTGGATTAGCGCGTGACATCTACAAAGACCCTGACTACGTGCGCAAAGGCAATGTAAGAGAAACCCTTCGACTGTTAGCATGAGCATGATCCAGAAGCTCTCTAGTGTACAGCAGGGTCAGTCACTGGAAAAGTGTTTAAGTCTCATGGAAATAACATTACATGTGAAATGTTAGCCCACATGAGATTCAGCATTGCAGTAAAGCTCGGAGCAACACTCAGTTCATACTAGGGTTTCTAACTGTCCAGTATTAGCCGGGACGTCCCGTGTATTGGGCCTAATTTATTTGCCTTGTCCTGTTTATTGACTGCTATGCTGATCTGACCACTGAGCGATACAACAGCAACACGACACTTGAGTGATCACGACACCGGTCATCCTCCAATCACAGCCCACACTCACGCATCAGACTAATAACAAGCTCTACATTGAGAATTAATCATTCTTTTGGGACCAATCATTGTTTGATTTGCATCTGGTCGCTCCCGGTTCGATCCTAACATCGGTTCGATGAGTCTAACATCCAGCCACGCGTGAAAACATTAAATCTTCTTGAGGGATTAATATGCTGATGTGATTTGCTGCTCAAGAAACATTTCTGATTATTATGTAAAAAAAAAAAAAAAAGAAATCTGGATTCTGTGATGAATAGAAATTTCAAAGGAGATTTATCTGAAATAGAAAGCTTTTGTAACATTAAAAATGTCTTTACTGTCACTTTTAATTTATTTAATGCGTCCTTGCTGAATAAAAGTAGGCTATTACTTTCTTTAATTCCTTTCAAATGTAGTGTATAATGTTACAAAAGCTTTCTATTTCAGATAAATGCTATTATTTTGAACGATGGTTTGTGTGTAATGTGACTTTTTTTTTGTATGACCTTAACATTCGTTTTAGAATTAAATTGTACATAAATAGGTTAAGCAAAACAAATGTTTGTGTCTGAGAAGCTTTTATACACATGCTTAACTACAGACACTGAAATGACAAACACTGTGATACAGTACAAATATTTTGGGTGTCCCTTATTTTCCTGTAAAGAACCACGATTGTCCCGTATTTTCCTTTTCTGAAGTTGCCAACCCTAGTACATACTAAATAAAAATCATTAGGAACAAATTCAATAGCAGTAGTGTTACTGCATGACGTACCCTGGGTATGAAGGCTTGACCTGCTGCAGATCTCTCTATACACATCTATAATCACACAAATATCAAACCAGCTGACTAGTGTCGGCCCAGATCCGGCCCACGTCTGGGCCGTGTGGAATCCATATGTACCAGATGTGGGCCGGATCTGGGCCGACACTAGTTGTTGTCTGGGTATGAAGGCTTGAGATCATCTCAGCTCTAGGATCCTGAACAGAGAGTGTCTCTCACAGTGAAGTGTTATCTGTGTTGGCAGGCCAGACTGCCTCTGAAGTGGATGGCTCCGGAGAGCATCTTCGATAAGGTTTACACCCCTCAGAGTGACGTCTGGTCGTTCGGAGTCCTGCTCTGGGAGATTTTCTCTCTGGGTGAGAGTCTTTCACATGCCGATGCCTATTCAACATACAGTGCTCTCTATGTAAAACATCTATGGAGTCTTGATTGAACCTTGTCCCATCAGGAGCGTCTCCATACCCGGGCCTCCAGATCGATGAAGACTTCTGCAAACGACTCAAAGACGGTACCAGGATGAGGGCACCGGACAACGCGTCCCCTGAAATGTGAGCGCTGGCCTGTTGATTGTGTGTTTGGTCTGACTGATGACGTCATACGGTGCCCAGACAGCAACAAAGTGTCGGCCCACATCTGGTAGACATGGATTGCACACGGCCCAGATGTGGGCCGGATCTGGGCCGACACTATGATGCAGTCTGGGCAGGGAGTTCTGTATGGGTGCAAGAGCATTGCTAAGGTGGTTATTAAAGTCGGTGTTAAATGCATGTTAGTAAATGTTGTAAATGCATGTTAGATCTTACCGCAAGTGATTCGTCCACGCAACGCACACATCTCAACATACACTGAACAAAATTATAAACGCAGCACTTTTTTGTTTTTTCCCCCATTTTTCATGAGCTGAACTCAAAGATCTAAAACTTTTTCTATGTACACAAAAGGCCTATTTCTCTCAAATTATGTTCACAAATCTGTCTAAATTTGTGTTGGTGGCACTTCTCCTTTGCCGAGATAATCCATCCACCTCACAGGTGTGGCATATCAAGATGCTGTGTCTAATCAGCATCTTGATATGCCACACCTGTGAGGTGGATGCATGATTATTGCACAGGTGTGCCTTAGGCTGGCCACAATGAAAGGCCACTCTAAAATACAGCAGAAAAGATATGTTGCTTATTCCGCTTCATCACAATAGAGTGCTCTGACGTGTGACGTGTGTTCTGGCAGATACGGCATCATGCTGGCCTGCTGGCAGGGCGAGCCCAAGGAGAGACCCATGTTTCCGGCTCTGGTGGAGATCTTGGGAGATCTGCTGCAGGAAAACAGTCTACCGGTGAGGAAACAAACACTACATCCAGTAATAATATCTGAGCATTACACTTTACCTTATCAAAAGTAGCGTCAGTTCTGGCAGGTCACGTTAGTCAAGCTTGCATCAGCTGACAGCTGACTCCCCAGCTTCTCTCGTTTCTCAGGAGCTGATTACCCTTCTCCCTCCCTAGTTCCTCTCGTTTCTCAGGAGCTGATTACCCTCCTCCCTCCCCAGCTCCTCTTGTTTCTCTGCAGCTGATTACCAGTCTCCCTCCCCACCTCCTCTCGTTTCTCAGGAGCTGATTACCCTCCTCCCTCCCCAGCTCCTCTTGTTTCTCAGGAGCTGATTACCCTCCTCCCTCCCCAGCTCCTCTCGTTTCTCAGGAGCTGATTACCCTCCTCCCTCCCCAGCTCCTCTCGTTTCTCAGGAGCTGATTACCCTCCTCCCTCCCCAGCTCCTCTTGTTTCTCAGGAGCTGATTACCCTCCTCCCTCCCCAGCTCCTCTCGTTTCTCAGGAGCTGATTACCCTCCTCCCTCCCCAGCTCCTCTTGTTTCTCAGGAGCTGATTACCCTCCTCCCTCCCCAGCTCCTCTCGTTTCTCAGGAGCTGATTACCCTCCTCCCTCCCCAGCTCCTCTCGTTTCTCAGGAGCTGATTACCCTCCTCCATCCCCAGCTCCTCTTGTTTCTCTGCAGCTGATTACCAGTCTCCCTCCCCACCTCCTCTCGTTTCTCAGGAGCTGATTACCCTCCTCCCTCCCCAGCTCCTCTTGTTTCTCTGCAGCTGATTACCCTCCTCCCTCCCCAGCTCCTCTTGTTTCTCAGGAGCTGATTACCCTCCTCCCTCCCCAGCTCCTCTCGTTTCTCAGGAGCTGATTACCCTTCTCCCTCCCCAGCTCCTCTTGTTTTCTCAGGAGCTGATTACCCTTCTCCCTCCCCAGCTCCACTCGTTTCTCAGGAGCTGATTACCCTCCTCCCTCCCTAGCTCCTCTCGTTTCTCAGGAGCTGATTACCCTCCTCCCTCCCCAGCTCCTCTTGTTTCTCAGCAGCTGATTACCCTCTTCCCTCCCTAGCTCCTCTCGTTTCTCAGGAGCTGATTACCCTCCTCCCTCCCCACTTCCTCTCGTTTCTCAGGAGCTGATTACCCTCCTCCCTCCCCAGCTCCTCTCGTTTCTCAGGAGCTGATTACCCTTCTCCCTCCCCAGCTCCACTCGTTTCTCAGGAGCTGATTACCCTCCTCCCTCCCTAGCTCCTCTCGTTTCTCAGTAGCTGATTACCCTCCTCCCTCCCCAGCTCCTCTTGTTTCTCAGCAGCTGATTACCCTCCTCCCTCCCCACTTCCTCTCGTTTCTCAGGAGCTGATTACCCTCCTTCCTCCCCAGCTCCTCTCGTTTCTCAGGAGCTGATTACCCTTCTTCCTCCCCAGCTCCTCTCGTTTCTCAGGAGCTGATCCTCCCTCCCCAGCTCCTCTCGTTTATCAGGAGCTGATTACCCTTCTCCCTCCCCAGCTCCTCTCATTTCTCAGGAGCTGATTACCCTCCTTCCTCCCCAGCTCCTCTCGTTTATCAGGAGCTGATTACCCTTCTCCCTCCCCAGCTCCTCTTGTTTCTCAGGAGCTGATTACCCTTCTTCCTCCCCAGCTCCTCTCGTTTCTCAGGAGCTAATCCTCCCTCCCCAGCTCCTCTTGTTTCTCAACAGCTGATTACCCTCCTCCCTCCCCAGCTACTCTCGTTTCTCAGGAGCTGATTACCCTCCTCCATCCCCAGCTCCTCCCGTTTTTCAGGAGCTGATTACCCTTCTCCCTCCCCAGCTTCTCTCGTTTTCTCAGGAGCTGATTACCCTTCTCCCTCCCCAGCTCCTCTCGTTTCTCAGGAGCTGATTACCCTTCTCCCTCCCCAGTTCCTCTCGTTTCTCAGGAGCTGATTACCCTCCTCCCTCCCCAGCTCCTCTTGTTTCTCTGCAGCTGATTACCAGTCTCCCTCCCCACCTCCTTTCGTTTCTCAGGAGCTGATTACCCTCCTCCCTCCCCAGCTCCTCTTGTTTCTCAGGAGCTGATTACCCTCCTCCCTCCCCAGCTCCTCTCGTTTCTCAGGAGCTGATTACCCTCCTCCATCCCCAAGCTCCACTCGTTTCTCAGGAGCTGATTACCCTTCTCCCTCCCCAGCTCCTCTTGTTTTCTCAGGAGCTGATTACCCTTCTCCCTCCCCAGCTCCACTCGTTTCTCAGGAGCTGATTACCCTCCTCCCTCCCTAGCTCCTCTCGTTTCTCAGGAGCTGATTACCCTCCTCCCTCCCCAGCTCCTCTTGTTTCTCAGCAGCTGATTACCCTCCTCCCTCCCCACTTCCTCTCGTTTCTCAGGAGCTGATTACCCTCCTCCCTCCCCAGCTCCTCTCGTTTCTCAGGAGCTGATTACCCTTCTCCCTCCCCAGCTCCTCTCGTTTTCTCAGGAGCTGATTACCCTTCTCCCTCCCCAGCTCCACTCGTTTCTCAGCAGCTGATTACCCTCCTCCCTCCCTAGCTCCTCTCGTTTCTCAGGAGCTGATTACCCTCCTCCCTCCCCAGCTCCTCTTGTTTCTCAGCAGCTGATTACCCTCCTCCCTCCCCACTTCCTCTTGTTTCTCAGGAGCTGATTACCCTCCTTCCTCCCCAGCTCCTCTCGTTTCTCAGGAGCTGATTACCCTTCTTCCTCCCCAGCTCCTCTCGTTTCTCAGGAGCTGATCCTCCCTCCCCAGCTCCTCTCGTTTATCAGGAGCTGATTACCCTTCTCCCTCCCCAGCTCCTCTCATTTCTCAGGAGCTGATTACCCTTCTCCCTCCCCAGCTCCACTCGTTTCTCAGCAGCTGATTACCCTTCTCCCTCCCCACTTCCTCTCGTTTCTCAGGAGCTGATTACCCTCCTTCCTCCCCAGCTCCTCTCGTTTCTCAGGAGCTGATTACCCTTCTCCCTCCCCAGTTCCTCTCGTTTCTCAGGAGCTGATTACCCTTCTTCCTCCCCAGCTCCTCTCGTTTCTCAGGAGCTAATCCTCCCTCCCCAGCTCCTCTTGTTTCTCAACAGCTGATTACCCTCCTCCCTCCCCAGCTACTCTCCTTTCTCAGGAGCTGATTACCCTCCTCCATCCCCAGCTCCTCTCGTTTCTCAGGAGCTGATTACCCTCCTCCCTCCCCAGCTCCTCTCGTTTCTCAGGAGCTGATTACCCTTCTCCCTCCCCAGCTTCTCTCGTTTTCTCAGGAGCTGATTACCCTTCTCCCTCCCCAGCTCCTCTCGTTTCTCAGGAGCTGATTACCCTTCTCCCTCCCCAGTTCCTCTCGTTTCTCAGGAGCTGATTACCCTCCTCCCTCCCCAGCTCCTCTTGTTTCTCTGCAGCTGATTACCAGTCTCCCTCCCCACCTCCTTTCGTTTCTCAGGAGCTGATTACCCTCCTCCCTCCCCAGCTCCTCTTGTTTCTCAGGAGCTGATTACCCTCCTCCCTCCCCAGCTCCTCTCGTTTCTCAGGAGCTGATTACCCTCCTCCATCCCCAAGCTCCACTCGTTTCTCAGGAGCTGATTACCCTTCTCCCTCCCCAGCTCCTCTTGTTTTCTCAGGAGCTGATTACCCTTCTCCCTCCCCAGCTCCACTCGTTTCTCAGGAGCTGATTACCCTCCTCCCTCCCTAGCTCCTCTCGTTTCTCAGGAGCTGATTACCCTCCTCCCTCCCCAGCTCCTCTTGTTTCTCAGCAGCTGATTACCCTCCTCCCTCCCCACTTCCTCTCGTTTCTCAGGAGCTGATTACCCTCCTCCCTCCCCAGCTCCTCTCGTTTCTCAGGAGCTGATTACCCTTCTCCCTCCCCAGCTCCTCTCGTTTTCTCAGGAGCTGATTACCCTTCTCCCTCCCCAGCTCCACTCGTTTCTCAGCAGCTGATTACCCTCCTCCCTCCCTAGCTCCTCTCGTTTCTCAGGAGCTGATTACCCTCCTCCCTCCCCAGCTCCTCTTGTTTCTCAGCAGCTGATTACCCTCCTCCCTCCCCACTTCCTCTTGTTTCTCAGGAGCTGATTACCCTCCTTCCTCCCCAGCTCCTCTCGTTTCTCAGGAGCTGATTACCCTTCTTCCTCCCCAGCTCCTCTCGTTTCTCAGGAGCTGATCCTCCCTCCCCAGCTCCTCTCGTTTATCAGGAGCTGATTACCCTTCTCCCTCCCCAGCTCCTCTCATTTCTCAGGAGCTGATTACCCTTCTCCCTCCCCAGCTCCACTCGTTTCTCAGCAGCTGATTACCCTTCTCCCTCCCCACTTCCTCTCGTTTCTCAGGAGCTGATTACCCTCCTTCCTCCCCAGCTCCTCTCGTTTCTCAGGAGCTGATTACCCTTCTCCCTCCCCAGTTCCTCTCGTTTCTCAGGAGCTGATTACCCTTCTTCCTCCCCAGCTCCTCTCGTTTCTCAGGAGCTAATCCTCCCTCCCCAGCTCCTCTTGTTTCTCAACAGCTGATTACCCTCCTCCCTCCCCAGCTACTCTCCTTTCTCAGGAGCTGATTACCCTCCTCCATCCCCAGCTCCTCTCGTTTCTCAGGAGCTGATTACCCTCCTCCCTCCCCAGCTCCTCTCGTTTCTCAGGAGCTGATTACCCTCCTCCCTCCCCAGCTCCTCTTGTTTCTCAACAGCTGATTACCCTCCTCCCTCCCCAGCTCCTCTCGTTTCTCAGGAGCTGATTACCCTCCTCCCTCCCCAGCTCCTCTCGTTTCTCAGGAGCTGATTACCCTCCTCCCTCCCCAGCTCCTCTTGTTTCTCAGCAGTTGATTACCCTCCTCCCTCCCCAGCTCCTCTTGTTTCTCAGCAGCTGATTACCCTCCTCCCTCCCCAGCTCCTCTTGTTTCTCAGCAGCTGAATACCCTCCTCCCTCCCCAGCTCCTCTTGTTTCTCAGCAGCTGATTACCCTCCTCCCTCCCCAGCTACTCTCGTTTCTCAGGAGCTGATTACCCTCCTCCATCCCCAGCTCCTCTCGTTTCTCAGGAGCTGATTACCCTCCTCCTTCCCCAGCTCCTCTTGTTTCTCAGGAGCTGATTACCCTACTCCCTCCTCAGCTCCTCTCGTTTCTCAGGAGCTGATTACCCTCCTCCTTCCCCAGCTCCACTCGTTTCTCAGGAGCTGATTACCCTCCTCCCTCCTCTGATCCTCTTGTTTCTCAGGAGCTGATTACCCTCCTCCCTCCCCAGCTCCTCTCGTTTTTCAGGAGCTGATTACCCTCCTGCCTCCCCAGCTCCTCGCGTCAGTCAGGATTTGGCATTCTGATTCCCCTTGAATCAGAATAAATTCTCGAATCATGTTGTACTTTAAAATCTTGAATTAATGATATCTGCAATACATTCATGTTGGTTCTGTTCTGTCTACCCTAAAGAGGGTTATTGCTGCTCTTTTCGATGCGAGGCTGCATGGATGCACAGGGAGTTTTTCGCCCGGAACGGAACCATACTGCCAATCCAAACTGTATGCTAATTGTCAATCGTATTTGGCGATAGTGGTCCTGACAGAAATATTTACAAGGCAGCTGTTAATAATACTGATAGAATAGCCAAAATATTATGAGCAGTCACAGGTGAAGCCCCAGACAACAACATAGTGTCGGCCCAGATCCGCCCCATCTGGTATAGGTGGATTCCATACGGGCCAGATGTGGCTCGGATCGGTGCCTACTCTATATCATATTGAGATCATCTCCTAAGGTCAGATATTCAGGTCTGGTTAGATCATAGGGTCAGCAAGCAGTCAGTTCTCGTAATCAGCGTGTTGGATGCCGGAGAAATGCACAGGAATAAAGATCTGAGCAAGATCTGAGCCGGGCGGGGCTACTAGCCTCGAACCTGGAGCACCGAGCCCAAAACCACACTGCGTTTCCAACCTTCGGGCCTGAAGCTCTACAGCGCTTCATTAAAAAATACGCCCGTAACACGCCTCTTGTGAACAACATCACTCAGACCCATCATTTCACCAACAAATGGAAGTTTTATCAGAAAACGAATCAGAAAGAAATTACTGGAAACTAACAAGATCGCAAAACAAACATGATAAAAGCGGCCATTTGCTGGCATTTTTGTTGTTTACTTAAAGATTTAAAACCCAAGTATCGATGTTTTTCCACAGTTTTAGAATAATAAATAATAATAATATTCACATCTGGTACACATGGATTCTACGCGGCCCAGATGTGGGCCGGATCTGGGCCGACAAGGTGTTGTCCTGTTTCCCCAATGCCACTGAGAATCTGTGGGATCTGCTGGACCAATTAGTTCGAATAAGCGGCTCCACCTCGCAACCTACAGTACAGGACTTAAAGGATCTGCTGTCAGAAACCACAGGACGCCTTCAGGGGTCTGTAGAGTCCAGGCCTCGGCGGGTCGGCGCTGCCAAAACAGCATATTAGCTCGAGAGTGCCTATAGGCAGGTGGTCATAATGTTTTGGCTCGTCTGTTTAGTGATTAAGTGAAATGCATTGTCTGTTTTCTTAGGAAATCCCGTTCAATGTGTCTCAGAGTTCAGAGGACGACGGCTTCTCACAAGCTTCCTCTCGACCAGCATCACAGGAGGAGATCAGACTGGCCTGCAACACACTGTCCACACGGTACGCTTGCATCTCATAAAAGGCTCATATATTCTGATATACTGAGAATATGGAGGAAAAACCCCTGTTTTATTCAGAGGCCCAAACTGAGCATAAATGTGCTATTTTCTGCAGATATTTATATGGACAAAAAGTAAGATGAAATTCTGATGCTTGTAATGGAAATCAATGAGATCTTAAAATGCATATAAATATTAGTTGTCACTCTATATCGGCCAATAATATGTCTTAGTAAGATGATGCTTATTTTTATGATCTGTAGATTTAAAACATATAATGCAATACAATGATGATTGAGAGATGGACAAATAAACCTTCCTCAAAAGCCTGATGATCATATTTGATACTTTTATTATTTCTAATAAATGATGTCTGGATAAATGAGTAAACCTGCTTCAGTCCAGTTGAAATATTACCAACATCAAAGTTATTCTTGCGCTTATTTCAGTGCAGTTTTGACAGCAGAAAGACACGTGAAGCTTGAGCTGAAGGAGGACGTTTGTACAATTATACTAAAAAACTTTTACTTGTTAAAAAAGTCGGTAACACTTTATTTTACAGTGTCCTTGTTACACATTCTACATTTACTTACCATAGTATTAACAGTAAATGATGCATAATTACATGCAAATAACCCTCAACCAAAACCTAATCCTACCCTAACCCTATAGTAAGTAAATGTAGTTAATTAATATTACTCAGTACTTAAATATATAATTACACTGTAACAATGCCACCTTAAAATAAACTGTAACCAACCTTTTGATCCTTTAGAGGCCTCATGAATCTGTGCATCAGATATGAGACAGCAAACTTTACAGGGTCAAATTAATGTTAGTAGGGATTTGAACAAACTTAAAAAAATATCTTTGAATGATAAATCATGTCTTATTGAAGAGAGGTGTGCTATTACCTTTCTTGAAACCAGTAAAAGCATCTCATGTATTTACTTAGCCAGATATCTTGGTTACAATCTCAAGAGCAAAATATTGCAGACTTATGAATCTGCATGCTTCTCTGTGCCCAGATATTACAACTGTGTGCCGTTCTCGGGGTGCATCATGGTGGGAGCCTCAAGCACGTGTCACGCGCGAGTCAAGACCTTCGAGGAACTTCCCCTGGAAATGACATCACACAAGACACATCATGTACGACGAGACCTCCAGTATATCGAGTCTTTATTGGCTGAAGCATGTCAGGATCTGTATGGTTTCATACGTGTGTGTGTGTGTGTGTCTACAGGACAGCCAGACAGACAGTGGGATGGTGTTGGCATCAGATGAGCTGGAGAGGTTTGAACACAAGCACAGAGGAGCCATGCTGAAAAAGTAGGTGAATCATTTATCATGTGTAAGTGATCAGTTTTCATCATTAAAGGGTTAATTCAACCAAAAATGAAGTTTCAACCAAAAATTAGCCCATGATTTACTCTCCTTCAAGTCATCCTAGGTGCATATGACTTTCTTCTTTCAGACGAATACAATCTGAGTTATATTATAAAATGTCCTGGCTCTTCCAAGCTTTATAATGGCAGTGAATGGCTGTTTCTGTTTTGAAGTCCATAAAAGTGCATCTATCCATCATAAAAGTGCATCTTTCCATCATAAAAGTGCATCTGTCCATCATAAAAGTGCATCTATCCATCATTAAAGTGCATCTGTCCATCATAAAAGTGCATCTATCCATCATAAAAGTGCATCTATCCATCATAAAAGTGCATCTATCCATCATAAAAGTGCATCTATCCATCATAAAAGTGCATCTGTCCATCATAAAAGTGCATCTATCCATCATAAAAGTGCATCTATCCATCATAAAAGTGCATCTATCCATCATAAAAGTGCATCTGTCCATCATAAAAGTGCATCTGTCCATCATAAAAGTGCATCTATCCATCATAAAAGTGCATCTGTCCATCATAAAAGTGCATCTATCCATTATAAAAGTGCATATGTCCATCATAAAAGTGCATCTGTCCATCATAAGAGTGCAACTATCCATCATAAAAGTGCATCTGTCCATCATAAAAGTGCATCTATCCATCATAAAAGTGCATCTGTCCATCATAAAAGTGCATCTATCCATTATAAAAGTGCATCTATCCATCATAAAAGTGCATCTGTCCATCATAAAAGTGCATCTATCCATTATAAAAGTGCATATGTCCATCATAAAAATGCATCTGTCCATCATAAAAGTGCATCTATCCATTATAAAAGTGCATCTATCCATTATAAAAGTGCATCTATCCATCATAAAAGTGCATCTGTCCATCATAAAAGTGCATCTATCCATTATAAAAGTGCATCTGTCCATCATAAGAGTGCAACTATCCATCATAAGAGTGCAACTATCCTTGATAAAAGTGCATCTATCCATCATAAGAGTGCAACTATCCATCCTAAGAGTGCATCTGTCCATCATAAAAGTGCATCTATCCATGATTAAAGTGCATCTATCCATCATAAAAGTGCATCTGTCCATCATAAAAGTGCATCTATCCATGATAAAAGTGCATCTGTCCATCATAAAAGTGCATCTGTCCATCATAAGAGTGCAACTATCCATCCTAAGAGTGCATCTGTCCATCATAAAAGTGCATCTATCCATGATAAAAGTGCATTTGTCCATCATAAAAGTGCATCTGTCCATCATAAAAGTGCATCTGTCCATCATAAAAGTGCATCTGTCCATCATAAAAGTGCATCTATCCATCATAAAAGTGCATCTATCCATGATAAAAGTGCATCTATCCATCATAAAAGTGTATCTATCCATCATAAAAGTGCATCTGTCCATCATAAGAGTGCAACTATCCATCATAAGAGTGCAATTATCCATCATAAAAGTGCAATTATCCATCATAAAAGTGTATCTGTCCATCATAAGAGTGCAGCTATCCATCATAAGAGTGCAATTATCCATCATAAAAGTGCATCTGTCCATCATAAGAGTGCAATTATCCATCATAAAAGTGTATCTGTCCATCATAAGAGTGCAGCTATCCATCATAAGAGTGCAATTATCCATCATAAAAGTGCATCTATCCATCATAAGAGTGCAATTATCCATCATAAAAGTGTATCTATCAATCATAAAAGTGCATCTGTCCATCATAAAAGTGCATCTGTCCATCATAAGAGTGCATCTATCCATTATAAAAGTGCATCTATCCATCATAAAAGTGCATCTATCCATTATAAAAGTGCATCTATCCATCATAAAAGTTCATCTATCCATCATAAAAGTGCATCTATCCATTATAAAAGTGCATCTTTCCATCATAAAAGTTCATCTATCCATCATAAGAGTGCATCTATCCATCATAAGAGTGCATCTATCCATCATAAAAGTGCATCTATCCATCATAAAAGTGCATCTATCCATCATAAAAGTGCATCTATCCATCATAAGAGTGCATCTATCCATGACATCCACTTTTATGGACTTCAAAACAGAAACGGCCATTCACTCTCATTATAAAGCTTGGAAGAGCCAGGACATTTTTTAATATAACTCCGATTGTATTCGTCTGAAAGAAGAACGTCATATACACCTAGGATGGCTGGAGAGTGAGTAAATCATGGGCTAATTGTAATGTTTTGGGTGAACTAAGCCTCTGTCTCTGTGCTCTTCAGTGTGTCGGCGGGTCACAGCACAGAGCGGCTCATCAGTTCTCCCTCCGTCAGCTCACCTCGTCCTCCCTTCTTCAGCCAACTCTCCGGCCAGACCTTCTACAACAACGAGTACGGCCAGCTGTCGGAGGAGGGCGTCTGCGACTTCTTCTCCTCCTCGGATCAGGTCTGCCCGGCAACATCCAACCTGTAGCTGCCCTGATTGGCCAGCCGTGCCCAGGCCCCGCCCCCTCCACACTAACTGAACTGATGTCTCAGCAGCCACTGGGTGGCACCATCACGTCACATTCAAACCAACACAAAGTATTTTAACACCTTAGTTACATATATCTTTATATAAAGAGTAAACTTCTTTTTATTTGTACAAAAAAAGACAAAAGATGGAGAAAAAATAAAGGAATATATCTACTTTTGACTGATTTCTTCATATTTGATGTTATATATTAATATTTATATGTATTTATTTTCTTATTTATTGTTAATGTCCTTTAATAATTTAAAAATATATCAAAGTACTTATTTAAAGGTGTATATATTTATAAATACACACACACACACACACACACATATATATTTTATTAAGGACAATAAACTGAAAGAACTCATTTAATGATCCAATTTAAAAAAAAACTAAAGTCTTGTTACATGGCCCCATAATGTTTATTTTGATTCTTTTACAACATTGTGGTAAACCTTTATTAAAATCATGGGGGAAAAAAACACTAACACAAATTTTGAAAAGACATACAAACACAAATGTTGCTGTGGTTTAATCTAACCATGGTAAACAAAGACAGTGGCGTAGTTCAGAAGACCACGATGATGATGACGATGATGAGTTACATCTGCTAACATGACAACTCAACGGTCTCAGGCTTGTTTGGTTAAAACAATAACTGAAGCTTCTGAAAGACCGCCACTACGCTGAAATGTAGGTTGTGGTCTGTGTTTTGGCTGAAGGAACTGGAAATACACTTGTGTTGGCATGTCAACAGCGCATCATTCATGTGAAGCGTCGTGTGGAACGCGCCTGTGGAACCGGTTCAACCCGAACATGATCAAAACACGGACGGGAAACAGCAGCCTGAGCTGTCTATGAGCCTGAGGGACGTCAACAACAGTGAACGCTTGAACATTAACCCTCGCGGCC